TATTGCAGGAATGTAGTGTGAGTAAGATAAACAACTATGATTCAGTATGTGCACTGAAAGTTAGGATGAAGGATTTGTATTTCTGTAATCATTGCTAACAAACTTGTTATATCAAAAGAGGGAACACAGTAGGATACCACAAAAAATACAGACTGTGCTTTTAAGCACTACTAGTTTTGCATCTTTAATTTGAGTACATCAACAATCAAAATAATCCTAATGCTAAGCTCATTTCCAGAAACTTCAGCAGAGCTGAATACTGAATTGCACCAAACAATAGTGCTGAGGTGGAAAATGCTAATGCTATTGTCCCCCCAGCTGGATCCCCAAGCTCATTAAATGTACCTGAGACAAAATGTACCTTGTACAGCCATGTATCAACGTTGTCATTACAGAAAGCCATAGCTGTCTTTAGGAAATTCAGGGCCTCATTTGTATGTTCACATGGTAAGAGAGAGTTCTCTGGCCTTACGAGCATTCAGAATATAAAGGAAAGGCATGGAGGGTGTGAGGGAGAAAGCAAAGCTCTGTTTTCAAATGAGGGAATAAAAAAGCAGAAAGTTTAAATTTCTTACTCAAAGTCATGCAGAAGGAGCTCAGAGTGCAGTTCAGCAATGAGTTCAAATTGCCTCAATTCTAGCCCGTGGCCTGAAGGGTAGGAACAAATGAGCTTTCCCCACACATTAGTCTAATCCAAACATCATATAGCAGCAGCAAGCAGTTAAAAGCAAGCCAAAATCTACTCCCAGTGGAGTGACTTTGTCAAGTGAGAACTGAGGCAGACCTGGAATGTCAAAGACTTTTGGCTGTCATTTTATCATGACAAAAAATAAATTAGAGGAGGCAGTTTCTCTGTGAATTATCTGTAATGAAACAGCCAAAGCCCTGAACCTCCCTGCCCTGAATGTCTTTACCATCCATTTCCTCAGCAAAGATGTATGAGCAATCAGATGAAACAAGTTTGAAAGCCATTGTGTTGAAGAGCATTGCTCTGGAGGCTGCAGCTTTCAGGGTCTCTGCTTAAGCAGTACAGCAAGCACAAGTGTCTGATGTTCATACAAATAACTCTAACATACAAATAACAATTGTGGTTGTGACAGGCAAAAGACCTACATGACCATGTGATGAGGAAAGCACACAGAAATAACACCCACTTAATAAAATTCCTCTATTTTCTATGACAGAGAAGAAAAATATGTCAAGAAAATTGGGTAGAATAACTTCAGTAGGAAAAGTGGATCTGTAACTTTGTTTCTTGGGTTTCTTTTGCTGCTGTCCAAAAATAAAGTAAGGATTCAGTTTGTTTTGGCTGAGAAATAACTTGTTGAACACTGCAGTGAGAGAGGAACTGCTCTGTGCATGCATCCCAGGCCAGTGCAAAGGAGTAACCTTTAAACTGGCAGCATTTTGAGGCAATGAAAACTTTGCTTTTAAGCATAGCTAGTTTTGTCCTATGCTGTCATTTAATAACATTGTTGCTATTCTGCTTATCTCAATGGAAATTAAAGAGCAAAATTAACAGCTTAAGTATGGTGCTCTGCTTACTAAACACTTCCATAACACTTTGTAAAATGGAACACATGCTAGTTAGGAAAGGAAATATTGATGCTTCCTGGCTGTTGTCACCCAGTAAGAATATCACGATGATTATAACTGAAGATCTAACTGGGACAAACCTTTCCAATAATGGGACCACAGATACTAAGTGCAAGGTGACCTTGCAAACAGTTTTTAGGAAGTCATACAGAAATTCTAAAAGGTGACAGGAAAAGTTAAATGACTTTGGAAAGCATTCTTAGATTCAGATAATTTAAATATGAGTTGTTTGTTGGGTTTGTATATATATATGCTGCCAGACATAAATGCTTTACAGGAAAATTTCATGTGAGTCAGGATTAGAGAAATTGGGCCAGAATCTCTGCTCTCAGAAATCAGTGATGCTCTGTGTGCTCCTGATTTTGATGCCTGGCCCCCCTCAACTCACACAGACTTTGGTGATTATTTTCCTTTTGCGTCTTCTTCAATAGCAGAACACTTCTGAATACATGTTCAGGCATCTTTTACTGACATTGTGTTTTTGTCAGAATGCACAGTCACGGCCCTCAGCACCACCACAGGCACAAACAGGCTCTACAAGAAATAGCTATGCTGTGATTCCAGCCCCTGAATCCCACACCTGAGTGAAAACATCAGGTTTTTATTGCTATCATTTGGCTGTCCCAACTCTCATAGTAATCCACCCCTCTACAGGGATGCAGTGACTTTTCAGGGCCTCCAGTGAGCCTGCCTCTGCAGTTCCTTCTTCTTTACAGTCCTTAGATGGAGCAGAAAGCCCTAGAAAGATAACAGGAGTACAAATCTCAAACAAACTCTTGTACCCTGGCTCACCAGCATCCCTTTTTTTTAACTTTTTCCTGCAGATCAAGTGGAACATAGGAATGAAAAAAGAGAGTTAGGAGGCTGCAGTGGATGGTACAGCTCGGCAGATCTGAAGGCTTCAAACAAACTGTCTCAGAGGGATATAGGAGATGTTAAGATGCAAAGAGACGACAACATAAGGAAAGACTATTGTTTTTTCACACCCTAAAAGTTATTAGCTGTGACTCATACTAAAAGAAGAGTCCTCACCACAGTGTAGCACTTAAAAAATCTTGACCACCACTCCAGGGGGCAAGGGTGGAACAGGACACACTTTCTTCCATTGGGAAGAAAAATATGCAAGGTGACATACCTGGCCTTTCTTAACTTGCCTAATGCCTTCCCTTCAGCAAAAATGAAACGGCACAGATTTTGTGGATACTGAACATCATGGATTGTACTATACTCTATACCTGGGCAGGGCAAAACTACATAGAAAATGGCAAATTCTTGCTTTGTGTTACCTCTGCCTTGTATGCAAGGGAAACAAACTCCCCTTTGAGAAGTAGGGTTGGACTAAATCTCCAAAGAACCCTTTCAACCTCAATTGTTCTGTGAAATCACTATCCATTCTATAAAAGGATGGTTGTTCTTTTGCTGGGTTGTTAAACTTCTCTAGTGAGTGGTGTGATTCTTGTTACTGTTTGTTAATTTGGTAAATGTTTTGGTATATAAACAATTATGCTGCTATAACTAGAGTTTACTCTCCTATAGCTTGATATAACTGGGCAAATATTCTTTGTTGAATATTTCTTTCATTGCAACATTCACTCAAAGTCATTGTCAGACTGGGTAAAATTCACCCACAAGTTTTGTGGTTGCTCTGTAAACTCTTTATGTTGACAAATCCAGGAGCAGGAAGTCAAGATTAATCTAACAGGGAGAGTAATCAGAACGGCTGGAGGTTGATCAATACTGTCTCAGCCCTCAGAGTGATTCCTAACCTCTCCGGTATCAGATATATGGAGAGAAGAGCTCCCTTTTGATCTCCTCAGGAGCTGACTCACTCATCAAAACATACTTTACCTACTCCTTGACACACACAGGCTGAGAAAGACACCATCTCATACTGGAGAAGGTATTGCTTACAGACTGGTGAATGCTGAAGCAGGGTTATCAGAAAAGATCAGAATGAACAGAACAATTCACAGCAGATCCTGTATGGTAGACTGTTTGCGGTATTCTTACACAACATGTGAGCTGAAAGACTCACAGAAGAAAGATCAGGATGTTTGTCCCAAATTTTCCAGACTGTGGGTAATTATACCTCCCTCTGACTACTGGCATAATTCTTTGATAGTTTTGTGACTGACTTCCCAGACTATGCATCTCCTTCTCCCAATCTGTTTTAAAACTTTGCTAAGAATAGAAAGGCAATGCAATGGACACTTTAAACATTTTTTATTTTAAAAACCTGGAGACTTTGGTTCTTATTTTGGACTTCTTCATCTTTAAATGTATAAATCAATAACTTAACCAGATGAAATTACAAATTCACACTGTTACAACAGCACCGACAGTAGCAATGTCACTACAGAAATAAACTGACCATATGTTTGAGAAAAAAAACATTCAGGTCAAACAACTGCTGCAGGTTAGATATGATTTATCGTATGTTATTGCCTTTACAAATGAGGACACCTGTTTGCTGGGGAAAGCATCAATAATAGAGATGTATAAAAAATCACTTCTCTTTCCTCATTGATGACATTTACTATGGAGAGGGTCAGAAGTAATTTCCATAAATGCCCTAAGCTGTAAAGGAATGTACAATGTCCCCTGGTGTTAAAGGATTCCTCTTGTAGAATTTATTGGCCAGTTGCAGAAGAAAAGGGGTAAAAGTTTAAAGAAATCAAACTCTATTAGGGAAAAAGAGAAAATTGCTACTTTGTGAATGTTCTTACTTATGCGCCTACAATTAAATATAGATAAAGATTGCTGAGAAGGAAAAACAGACAAAAATATTCTAAAAATTTTTCCTCTGGATTCATAAATGGAGGGAGCAGAAAAATTAAATACCAAGTTAAGCTACAGATGTAACAAAAACAGAGGTTCTGATTAGAGACTGAATCTGCTTTACATTAGCAATCAATTTCAGACTTCATCATGCTGATGACATCTTGAGATATCACCCATAAACATCTAAACAATATGTACCAACTCGTGCAATGGGAACAGATCTGCACGTCTACTGTTAGCCATCTTTGGTTGAAAGTCAGTGGCAAGTGAAAATGGAAATTCGGTTTCAAAACCAGCAGGAAGCCAAAAGCACAGTTAAGAGTGAGGATTAGAATTCAATCCTGCACTCTCCAGTTTTACTGCGAAATTCCCAAATTAAACCAGTTCCCAGTTTTTATCAACTTCTCCCAGCTCTTACCCTATGCATCACAATATTCTTACAGCCTCATCATCTCCACACATCATCCATTACATTTTTCAGCAAATTCTACCCAGCTACACCATGGAGCTGACTGACTTTATATCACCCTCTCTTGGTTCACCTCTTTGCAAACTTTGCCTGGCATGAATCACCCTCAAATGCACCCATGGGGCCTGGAATGCAATATAAAAATAGAGCCTACCTCTTCCAGCTGGACCAGGAAAGTGACATTGTGTCCTTGCTCAGCTGTCAGTTTGCCGTCAGATGTGATTATGCGGAGGCCCTGGGGAGGTTTGCCAGGGCATTTCTGTGGCTTTGCTGTGTACCGTTCTCGCACACCATCCGTGCAGTTATTAGAAACAACTTTCCTGTATCTGGAAAGGAATAGAGAAATCTGTGGAAGATGCTGACAAGGAGCATAACAAGGGTGACTGGGAACAAGCTTCTTTAGAATAAGAAGATTGGAAGGTAACAGATTCCCAAATATATTTTAGCATTTGCCTCAGCCAAGCATTCTTCATGTGCCTAACATACAAATAGTTAATATTGTTGTTAATGGCATGTAATAATTTCCCTGCATGGCACACCTTTATACCATACATTAATAAATTGCCTAAACATAAATCATATGATCTGTTACATGTTATAGAAATATAAAGCTATAAATAATTTATATGCACATACAGTATGGAATTGTATTCAATTACTATACTGTTAGGCATCGTTTAACAACTTTTCTCACATGCTGTCAGCTTCTCATTAGTTGTAGACAAGTCTTTCTAAAGATGTGACCCTTGAGAACTAAAAAAGTAAGAGTGTTGAAGCAAAAAGCAAATTTTACCTATCTTTGAGTGTACAAACCCTCAAAACACAGCTTGGGTTGCTTTGTCTGCTTTAATCACTAGCATCATATGTGAAGTCTGTCAGTATCTTAACTTAAGCTACATCTTCCATTGACTTCCAAGTGTCCCAGAAACAATCAGCATTCAGGCTGGGTGCCCATCTATCACTTTAGTTCACATATACATCAACTCTTCCCTCAGTTTCTGCCTCACTTGATCCCACATGATTCCAAGAGGAGTATTTTCAGAAACTTGGCCTCTGCCATACAGTTTTCCCCCCAAGTTTCTTTAAGTCATCATCTTTCAGAGAAAGGTCTGGACCATACATGATCAAGATCTGGAGTGACAGACTGTGCCCCTAACAAAGTTAGTGAAGAAGAGGTCTCAAGGGCTTCAGCCAGCTTAGAGACACCTATAGTAAAGGGAATCTGTAGTTGTCATTGGGTTAAATCCATATGGGTGCTCTAGTTAAATAAAGTGTGCTGTGCCACTTACCCAGTGCTGTTGAGATAACTCTGTCCAAGGCTGCAGTCTTTCGACAAGGAAGATGGGTTATACCAAAATGCTGGTAAACACTGGCCATTGCTGTGGCGTTCATATCCATAGTCACTGTTTTAACATTAAAAGAAACCATCACATGAAAAAACAAAATAGCAAATACAGGTATTAGCACATGCCCTCTACTGTTGATACAAGTTTTGATTTTTCTTAATCTGTGTACTAGGATTTCTGGTGGGTTTTTTACTGATAGAACAGATTCTTCATCCCACTTCAGCATTTTCATTGGGGTAGTTACCTTGCATATGTCCCAGGGCTAACTAGCAGAACCAGACCAGGAGGATTATGAGCTATTGTATTAACAGTGCTCTCTCCTGAGTGCTTCTCAGGATCTTCTCTAGACTTAAATATAATAAAAACTAGAAATATAAGCTAAGTTAAATTACTGCTGTCTCAATCATATCTTAGAAAACTAAAGTGCTAAAAAGCTAATCGCATTTGGAAACTGTATCACATGAGATGTAGAGGAAAATTTACAGCCCTGAGAGAGCTCTTGCCTGAAGGCATTAACAGCGTATTTGGTAATGGAAAAGAAGGCTGTGATCTTCAATTCTCTTTTTGTATGAAAGAGGAAATGCTACCAAAAATCATGTGTTAGAAACAACGAGTCTAACTGTAACCTTTTGTCACAATTTGGGTTTATCTATGACTAAATTTGCCTTGGTTTCACTAAACAACATTTCAAATTGTTTCTGACTCCAGGTAAACAAAGACTCTATAAAAATCGTTATTGTGGAGAAAAAAAAAAACCAAATCACAAAATATTTTTTTTTCTACACATGTGGTTTTACTTTCCAGCCATTGAGTAATGAGGACTACTTGGTTGGATAATCATTCTTATTCCTTTTACTAAGCTTTCTCCAAAGCCCATAATGGAGAAGTTAATGGGATGTCATTTCTGAGAACTGTTATACAGAGTCCATCAACTCCATTCTAACATTCCAGTTGCAACACAATACTTTACCTTAAAATGGCACTTCTTCACAAAGCACTTTTTAAACTTATTATCTTTAATGTCTTGCTATCAAATAGCCTGATATTCTAAGAAAAGAGGATTAGGGCAGTGCTAGATTATGTGATTAAAGGCTTGTCTCTGTATACATACCTAAAGAAGCAGAGAGGAAAAACAGGAGACAGAGGAACTCCAACAACCTGATCAGAGCTAATGGAGCCCCTGCTTCAGCTCCTCATGGGTGTCACAGAACAGCCATCAGTCCATGACCAGGGTGAGACCTACCAGATCATCAGCAGGAGAGGCTTGCAGATCACTGAGCAGGGTTACTGCACACTGATGTACCAGACTCATTATACCATGCCAGGGAAGAACTTCTGGCATCTCCACTTCCATTTTCCTGGTGAGTGGCTGTCTGTTCTGTGTACATGTGTGTGTGGTGGCCTATGTCTCCAGTAACTGGACTCAGACCATGATTCACAGGGGACCACGCTGCCAGCAACTGGACTGACTGGAGTGTGTGAATACTGTGAAGGTCAACACTAAGACCAAGAAGCCATTGAGTAGGATTAAAGACTCGGGAGAAACGTGCTCATAAGTCAAGGCTGGGCACTAGGTCCATGAGTTGGTTATTGGAGAGACCAAGAGGTCTGGGAGAATGGCTATTATTGTAAAGCCATATAGATCTGTCTGGACCTGCTCACGAGACCTCTTACATGTGCGTATGTCTCTGCGTGAGGCAACTGGGGATGTCCAGTTATCAGAATCTGGGGAGACAAGGCACCCAGGGGATAGATACTGGACAGACCTGGGTGTTTAAGACCAGGTACTGGTGGGATCAATATTGCATGTATTTTCAGTGTGCATATTTTCCATCAGCCAGAGAGGGGAACAAGATCAGGTGGTGGTGTTTGTGTGAGTGCTATGTTTTCATTTGTGCTAGTCTGTGTCACCAGATGTGTATGTATGCACATATGTACTGTGAGTACACACACACCTGTGCCTATCAGGGACAGATATTCAACCTTGCAACTTCTTGGGTCAGGAGACATGGAGCTGCTGCAGCCTCACTTCTCTTAGGCTGCTGGATTCAGCATCTCCTAATGGGCAGCAGTGTGATCAATATTTGTAGAACAATATTAACAAGAAGAATGTTTAACTTAATGAAGACTTTTTTCAAATGTTTTTTCTTCCGGGACAATAGCATGATGGCTTAAAAAATCCATTAATGAATCACTAGTAAATAATTTTAAGAAGTCTGGTATTTATCCAAGACATAAGGCAAAGAAGAAAAAAGTGAGAATATTTTGCAATTTATCTTTGTAGAATTGCTTGTAATTGTTATCAAAGCAGGACATTGAGAATTCTGTCACTACTTTTTTCTTCTTCCTCAAGTTCTCCTTCTGAATCAAGAAAAAATACCTTAATGCAATCTTAACAAGAAGAAATTAAAAGGACGACATTAAGCAAAAGAAAATTAAAGCTGCATATTACTTGGGAAAACTCCTAAACATCTATTAGACTGCATGATTGTTCGAAAGGAACATTTTGGCAGCTGTAGTGTCTGGAATATCTACAACAAGTAATTGAGAACATACTCTAGGAAACAGCAATGAAGTAGATGACCAAAAGGGTCCTTTCTCATTTTTTTTGACTGAATTTTCATCAATCTATTTACTCAGATGCTAGTGACTGAATGTCACTTAATTGCTTTGGAAGCACCAGTCAGCCTATTTTCCCACTGCCACGTGCCTCAATAATCATCTTTGTTGGAATAAGAACACTATAGCTGCAGAACACACTTTGTAATGGAGAATAAATCATTCTCATTTGTTTAGAGAAAACAAATATTTACATACAAGTGGGACTCCAGTATTTCTGTAATTCATTTGTCAACACTTTGCAGCACTGTATTCCTAAGTTATCATGTGTGACTCTATTTAAAAAGCTATAACACTGTACACACACAGTGTTCTGTAATCGGTTAGCTGAAAACAAAACAAAATAATAAGTGAAATCTGCCTCAGAGGGGATCAGTACCTGCAGTCCAACTTGATGCAGCAGTCCGGGATTTCTTACTATACATGTGTCTAGATACAAGCTACTATTTTGGTTCCTATTACTACCTGTACATCTGGGCAAGCCAAGATTGGCTTAACTAGTTTTGACTGTACTTGGATCATATTTCTCAAAGTCAGGGAATGAAATCATAGGATTTTTCCACAGCAGAAATAGTTATAAGCACAGAAGTTTCATAGTTTTCAGGTTTGCAAATCATCTGGCTCATTAAGGCCACACAGAAACATCATCCCAGTAAATGACATGAATTGCTGTTCCATATCTCTCTACAGCTGCAGCAGCCACCCGTTCACCTCCGCAGTCTTGGAATCTAATGAATTTCTTGGCTACAGGCTGTTGCACGCAGAGCACTGATGCTGACAACAAATTGCTGCCTACAATTTGGCACAACAGGCTTTGTAGCAATCAACAAGCATTAGCATCAATTGGATTGCCATAGCATGAACCAGTACAGCAAAATCTGGAGCTGGGGAAGGCATCAGCCTCAAAGTGCAATCAGCTAGCCGAGTCATTGCCTGGTAACTGGGAATTGGAATTTGCATATATTGATGATATTTTGTGCCTGCCTGAAGAGAACTCAGGTGACATAGATAATGTACCTATCAAAAAGGAGTGGAGCATTTACCATCAGGGATTTCTTTATCAGTATGAAGCAGCCTGTCTTGTGGCTCTCACTGATTATGGTTTTACCATGGCCACTTTTACTGGTTTAAACTGAAATCCTATTTTTCTTAGTCAAATAGAATTGCAAGTTCTTCTCTGTACTTAGATACACATTCCAGAAGTTCTGTATCCCTGCTCAAAGATCATAATAAATTCCTTTAGCTAATATTTGCAGCACAGGTAATAATCAAAAGGCAACAATGCCCTTAAGGAAGTTTGCAGCTTTCATACAGACCTTACAAACATACTGTCATAGAAGAACTGTGATTTCACATGAAATTATTAAAATCCCATGGCTCTAAAATACAGAAATAACCAGGTAAGTCAGACGAGTGACTGCCAAATTCATACCTTCTAAAAATCAAGAGATGACTTAGCATGTAACCACAGGACTTCCTTAACATTAATGGCTTCACCTTAAGTTAACTACGCTGGAAGCTGAAAATGCTACTTGTGGTTTTGTATGCTGTGCTTTCCAAATTTTCAGACATTAAATGGGGTGAAATCGAGGTATCTCTAAAAATAGTCACTGTTGTACTTCAGTTTCCAAAACCCCTGGTGGAAATAAATAGCTATGGCTACAGCCATGGAAAAGCCTTATCCCCTTTTTATTCACTTAATACCATTGTCTAATATTTAACTATGATCCAAGTGTAGATTTGTGTTAAAAGGGAGGTGTGTTTGCTCCCCAGTTCTACAGGATCTGACATGGGATTTATCTCAGTGAAGGATGGATTCAGCTGCAGTCTGAACTGTGGATCTACAAAGGTGCATGATTATAATTGCATCACAGTATTTGGAGTCAAGCTATACCAGCTTATGTTAATATGGAACCTAAAATCCCCAAAATCTATCCAGTAAATCCATGCCTGGTAGATCTGTAGGCCCATAAAGATGCAGAGATGCACTGTAGACTTTGCATAATGAATCTGCATTTTCCACAAGCATTCAAAATGAACTAAAACTTCGTTCAAAAGTACTTTTTGTTAGCTAACCAAACCTACCTCAATGAGAAAGCAAAGTTAGCTAACCTAATTGTGCAAATGTCTGTGTATTTCAGAACTGGCACCTTCATGTTTGTCTGAACTGATGAGTGGCGACATACGAAGCCAAGAGAATCTAATCACACTTAGTATCTATCCTCTGCCTCCCTGGGTTTGTCAGAACAGTTTCTCATGATGCAGGACTCTGATGCCTTAGCTTAAGAGCTAACCCTAGCAGGCAGGGCTGTAATTTAAGTGCCAGACAATAAAAAAAAGAGCCAGCCAGATCCTTGCTGATATCATCAGTGAAATAAATAGACCTGATTCCCAACTGCACCAAGGCTCTTTTTTGCCTCTCTGGTTATCCAAAATCACTAGCACCAGTATCAACAGGCTCATACCCCCCATGAAGGTGTGAGATATAGGAGTCTTGATAGAAGAAGTATTAATGCCAGTGGGTTCAGAGGGAGGACTGACAGTGAGACACTCAACTCAAAGTTTCTATTAAAGGAACTGGGAGACAGGTAGCTGAAGGATGAACACCACCAAAGATTTCTATCTGTGTCTAGGAGATGTTTCTGCCCAAGAGATATTGCCTTAATAATGCTCAGACAGCAGGAAGGAACACAATGTAAGGAAACGGGGTAAATTAATGCTTTAATAACACCCAAGTAACGGTGTCATCCATTTACCCAAATCAATTAAATGAAGAAGGACACACTCGTTTCTAGGCCGTTGCTAAGACAGATTTGCCGGGGGCTCCTGCACAGTCCCTGTACCCCATTCCTGAAGCTCTGTTGCCCTCTGGCTGTGAGCCCCAGCCCCTGCATGGAGAGCTCTGGCCCCAGTTCACTTGGCTTCTAGCCGCTGATAAAAGATGTCTACTGTCAGAAGAGTTCAGGTTCCCAAGGCTAGAGAAACTACAGTAATTTCTAATGTCACTCAGTTTTGTTGCTGTGTAAAACAATAAACAAATGTGCCCTTTTCTCTGAGAAAGATCTACCATGGGCTGAATACAAATTTGAAATGAACCTGGAGTTCTGTGATATTACAAAGAGAAAAAAATGTTATAAAATTTTTATGTCTTTTATAACCAGCATTTTCCCCCTGAACTGATGAAAAAAGCACTTGCAGGATTAACAACTATAGCACTTTTTCTCACTTTACCTGACCACAGAGATACAATTTTTTACTCCAGGCTCTGACAAGCTTAGATAATAAAATCTTCTACATACAAATTCAGTGTTTAAATAGCAAAGACAGCACAATGACAGGGATTGTTGTATACAAGTCTGGGTCCTGTAACCACTGATGTTAATATAAAAAGCTGCCCAGTTTATTTCAAGATTTAAAAATCAAGTGCAGGCAGCTAAGCGGTTTCTCCCTGCCCGGGGGATACACGTCCCCTTCAATCTCCTTCAATAAGAGCCCAGCCCAGAAAAAAAAGAATAAAAAAGAGAAATAGAGAATTCCAAAGTACTTCTGAAATGTCACAAGGGAGAAAGATGAAGTGTTCCTTCCTTCCTGCAAAGGAAAGACCCCAGAGAGGACATCCTCCCATAGCAAGAATTCATTCACTCATTTTCCTCCAAACCTCCCTCCAACTTCTGCAGGGTGGATTAGCAGTGAAGCCGAGTGCAGAGTTCAACACAGCAGGCACTGGAAGTTATGGTACAGCAGCAGCTTTGGCTTTCTTAGTAGACAGCAGAATTGCTTTTTTCCTTGCCATCTCTTTTCTCCTTCCTAGATAAACTTTTCTTCTGTTCCCTGCAGAGTTTTTGTCCTTCCCCGGCAAATCTATGTAAAACTATGTGCCTGATAAATATTTTTGGTTTCTGAACTGGATGCTTAAAGCAATATTTCGGGTTTTTTTTTGTCAGAGACAGTAAGAAAGAAGCTAATATGGATAAAGCACAAATCCACATCTGGGGATTGTAGGAATAACATGAGCTCAGGAAGAACTAGAGGGGATCACAACAGTCTGCTCTAAACCAAAACTGTTTCCATTAGGAGGAAGGCTCACCTAGGCCAGGAAGTTTTTCTGTCAGTTAGCTCAGCACCGAGACATGCAGTACTTTGAAGGATATTTTTGTCAGGCTACTTTTAACAAGATGACTTTTAGAAGGTCCTAATTCTGCCTCTTCCAACAGATTTGAGAAGGTCTTGTTGGTGCATGTGAACAGTGGGCACCTGTTGTACATCCCCAATGATTTAAGCTTTGTCTTAAAGATTCTCCCACAACCCATGAGAACTTCTGGAGAAAGTTTCCTTGAGGTAAACACAAAATAAATACAAGCACGTTTCCCCCAATGTGATACTTTTGTCCTGTACCTAGCAACAAACTTTTGTAGCAGAAAACCATACAATCAATTTTAATGAAATAAAAATATGCATTCCCAGAGGGAAGTTCTGGAAGGAAAGCATATTTTTATCAGAAGTGTTTCAGGTATGTTTGTCCCTTATGAGTGCAAGGGATTTAAACATTAACAGACTGACTGTGAGTCAACCCCATCAACTATTTTCTTGAGGGCATAAGCTTGGCACAGCATTGTACTGCATGCTCTACAAGAGGGGTCAAAATCTTCAGGGAGTTTCTCTCCTGTTAATGGTGGTTTGGAGTTTTTTTGTTTGGCTGTTATCTTTTTTACATTACTAGAGAAATATTAAATGGTTGAAATCCAGGACCTTTGGACACCTATATGATGAACTGCACACAGAACTGAGGTATCTTCCCCTTGCAAAGAACTCAGTGGAAGATGGGGAAAACATTAGGAAACCATATTCAGAGAATCCATGCCCAAATATGCTAATAATTGTTACTGTTTGGTGCAATAGGATTTACTTTTATGACACATGGAAAAGCTTCCTGTGATCCTATGATTTTATATAGAAAAATATCCTATTTTTATGGAAGAATGAGAAGGGAAATGCTGTAAATGTCCATGGTCCTGAAGTGAACTCATATCATAAGAAACAAAATATTGGTAAGATTAACCTCTTCACGGCTCATGTTACAGATTCTGGGTTTAATTAGTAACATGGCATAGATCTAGCTGGGCAAAGCACAAGGGGATTTTATCAGCACTGCCAAAGAGCCACCATTTCTCTCATCCAAGATACTTAGGACTTTTGGACTTGGGGAAAAGAAGTGAAAAGGAGATTTCAATAATGTAGTTCCTGCCATTTTTTTGTGCAAATTGCTGTGTGTCAGCAGTAATCTTGAAATCAAACTAGGAGCTGAACATTTTATCACATCATTCATAACTCACCAGTGTTATTTTACTCTATTTCCCACAGCATATATCAGAGAAGAAAAGGCTTCAGAAGGAGATTAACCCAAATCATGAAGGCAGTGTCTGCTGGATAGTACCAAGCATGATGGTCCAGATATAAAAAAATGACACAGGAGTTTCCTAGATACTTGATTTCTAGAAGCTGAAGGCCTACTTTGCACATCCATATATTTACTTTTACTCATATATACATATGTACGTGTGTGTGAATTTATTTTTTACACAATGCTATCTATGTCTCCGTACTACTTTCACAGTCACCCCTGGTGACTGCTGAGGTTAGATGTGCTAAACTGACCTGTTATCTTAATGGTGCACAGAGTTCAGATACAAGCGAGAAAATGATCTGTTCAGCAACAATTTTGTGGGAGCATTAGAAGATTACAGAGATCTTTCCTTTCTTCCTTTGATATACTTTCACTATCATAGAGTAGCCTATTTTGACGCTTACATGTTTATTAATTTCTACTCTCTGCAAGCTACAGCCTCTCTAGAGAGCTCTGCATTGTTGTAGTAGAGACCACACAGTCCTTCTGCACACTGCTCACCAGTCAAAGTCTGCCTCTGTGCACACGCACGGCTCCGAGGTCATAGCCCCAGCGTATTTTCCTTGCATGCATTTCTTCTCTGACTTGCGTTTCCTGTAGATCCTTTTTGCTCCCATGATGCAAGCTTCTCCCTGGAAACAAAACCAAAATTATTTCCCTGACGCCCACCAGGCTCTTTGTATCACCTGATTTTTCTAAGTTTCTGCAACAGGAGGTGTTACCCGAGGGAACAGGATGGGAAGCCAAATGTCATCTCAGTACACTAGAGATAATTAAAGCTACTGAAGCTTTAACTGAAACTAAACCAGCATTTCCAATATACACTAAGAAAGGTTACTTATATATCTGATTAAGTTCTGAATTTGTTCCAAAGCCAATAAGCAATTGATCCAGGTTCATTTCACAGCAACTAAAACCATAGCCTGCTTCCTCTGCAATTTGAGACACAGAGCAGGTCTATTTCTTTGGTCTGATCTCTTTGGGAACAATTTCATTCAGTAGAAACTAGTAATATGTGTTTATGTAAATAAACAATGTGAACTCATCAATGGATGAGTTCACATCTTACAGGGTTTCACTTGTTATGTGGATGCTAGAACTTCCTATCTTCAGCACCCTGCTAATATTTCTATATAGGGAACAAGGCCCAGCCTTGTCATCTCAATGGAAAGAAATTTGCAAGGCAAGAGTACACTGCAGCCTTCCTAAAAATAGTTCTGCAAGCTCCAAAGCCAACATTCTCGAAGAAATACTGCAAAATCCTTGGCATTTTTGCTTATGCAAGCACAAAAAAGTTAAGAACAAAATACAGTGGAGTCTCACTTACTACCTTTTATGATGTTAAAATCACTGTAGAAAATTTTTTCATGGCTTTGATATGCCCATGAAACAGAAGGGCCTGACTTGCAACTGATGTAAAATGCTGTGCCTCCTTAAATTTCAAGGAAGCTGTACTGATTTTCAGCATCTAAAGATCTAAGTAATAACTGGTATTTTTAGTGTAGAGTTGTGCCTTGTGTGAGCAGCTAGTCTGAGTCAAGCTACTTTCATTTCATATTCATTATTAAATTCTTGCCCAGCAAGATATACACAGAAAGACAACCTTTGATGATATAAATGTGTGCTTCACTTTAGACTTCAGTGGAGCCTGTGGTGTTTATATAACCACAGAATTTGGGCCACATTTTATTCTAACCTGATGTAACACAGGCTGTTGTGAAACTTGGCAGAGCTGGGAAGGTGCCTCAAGGCAGGTGCAGGCACTGTGCACTAGCACCTTACTTTGCTGTGCATGTAAGCAATGGTTCTGAGAGTGATGCAGCAGCTGCATCCAGGTTGCACAGGACAGAGCATGGGAGCCAACAAACTGGGGAATAAAGCACCCAACTCCCACAGCAGAGAGAGATAGAACAAGCATAAAGGCAAGTGAGCAAATAATGAGGCTACAAGGCAGGAATTTGGAGGAACAAGTGTGAAAACAACTAAAATGGTCTTAAAATGCTGGCTCTGAGGACACAGAAGGATGGAGGAAGGGAAAGGTGGTAAGGATGGGGAAACTGGATGGGATGTGTAAAAGTGAAGTAGTTCAGGCCACAGCTGCAGTGCATCTGCTGTTGTTGCATTCTTCACGTCTAGGTACGTCTGAGCTCATTGCCTGCATGGAGAATGATTGATACTCCAAAACCAGCTGTTCATCCTTTGGGGCTCACAGAGTGCAATCTGAGGCAACACACCGATAGAACAGGACAGACCCAACCAGTCAGGGACAACCTGATACAGCAAACTAACAGGAAAAGACATTGGATCATGATGATCTTTAACTGTAGAATCAGTAGCTACTTCAGGTCAGATCCCTCTCTCCTTGCTTCTCACCTGGCTATGAAGTTGCCAAGGCCTGTAGTCCTCTTCTGCACATCTCCGATCAAAAATGGACTTGTAGTCTACTTTCACCAGCTGCCACTCTGAGCGGTGGCTGAAATGTCCAAACACACTACAGAATGCAGCAGAAAGAACACACAGTAAAAGGAAGCACCTAATGTAGTCTGGTAGTTACAGAGGTACAACCACCCACAGTTTCCAACAGAGATCAATTGCTTTAGGAGTAACAGTCCTACTCATTTTCACTTGACTGAATAGTGAAAATGAAACTTAGCCTGCTAAAGATCTATAACTCATTAAAAATTGCATGTAGCTTTTATTCTGTTTTATTCTGTTGACCCTCTTACTTATGACAATACTCAAAATGACTCTATTTGAAGAGAAGAGTCAAAAGAAGACTTGGTGTGGGGCTGGAGACAGATATACCTATAGGAGTTTTATGTTAATGATAAGTTTTGGGAATCCCTTCTATGCAAATTAAAATCAGAACCTGAAGGGAACATTCTTCATACATCTTTATTAACACAAGTTAGTTTCCAAGCCACACATTGTTTATCACAGGTCAGTCCATTTTATACAGACAGAAACTGAATTTTCCTTCTGTTTTTGCAAATCTGATCTCAGGTAAAATGTCAGAGTTTCTGGCACACTGAGTCCAGATTTATGCATCGTGCAGAACTCAGCATACCACATTGAAACTAAACATAATTTTTCATGAGTCAGCCTCCAGGCAACATTTTGTCATTCATTTTTACAAAATAATGTCTTCACTTTTCTGTGTCTCAGTTGAAAAAAAAAGAATGCAGCAGCAAAAACACAGTTATAAAAATACCTCACCATTTTTCTTTCAAATGTTCATCTGTCAAGAGTAACTGCTTTACATCACATTCAATTTGATGAGTCAGGTTTCATGCTGATAAGCTAAGTGATAGTTTGCTGCTTGCAAGGAACCATGTTGTCATTCCCTCAATCATATCACAAATAAACTGATGATTTAGCAGCTGAAGGCTTCACACTCCTGGCTTCAGATAGTACTTGGTTTGGTCCTCAACCAGAAATGCCATTGTTATGAGCAATTCTCCTAATGTATTCATGGTAGCATAAAATATATATTTTACCTAATATATTTGTGGTAGCATAACAGTAGCATGATAGCATGCTGACTTACGTCATGATGAGAGTTTCCTCTCCAGGTTCCCCTAAAACTCCATCAACAAATAGTGGGAGGGATGTGAAACTGTACTTGCTCCAAGATCTCCCTTCATCAAAACTTAACCTAGTGGAGAAAGCAGAATTAGTGTCTTCTTTTCTTATTCTCCTACTCTACTTGAAGAGACTCTCTAGTTCACTACAGCTGCTATGGAGGGAGTAGTGGGAAGCAGCTTCTGTTCTTGGATACAGTCTTTTTATAGTCCTTTGAATAACTGTTTTTGGGAAGCATCATAAATCAGAGCATTGATCAAGCTTGTTTGACATCATAACACTAACCCATGACCGATATTTAAGTGGTAGAAACCAATAAAGTTATGTTACAGATTGATGCTTTAAAGGCAAAATGCAGACAAGGCATAGAATTTAAAAAAAATAAAGAGTGATTTTGAGCATCTTTTTTGGGGGTCCCCAATATAAAATATTTTAAGGACATTAGTTTTCTGGAGCATGAGAGCTTTGACTCTTTGAACCAGCAGTCTTCCCTGTGGTAAAGTGAAGGCTTGGAACCACTCATCATTTCTTATGAGTTGAGTCTGTGTGTTTCAGGTACTGATATGACACTGACTGTAGTGAAAGTAAGTAATGCAAAGCAGCACAAAACTACATGCTACCTCCCAAATTGAAGAGTCCTAACTAGCAAGGACACTTTTGCTTTATTGGCTATATAACTCTGAAGCTATTCAACAAAATTCTGGTTCATAAGTGCTGCCTGCCTTATAGAAGACAAGTTCATCAATAACTTTGAAAATAATAAGTCTTTTGGTAACTTAATAACAGACAAATGCATAATCCAGATATATGAACTCAAGATGCCAAAGCTGTGGTAAAACAGGAGTGTTGTGGAATTCCATTGTTGATCCCTCAGATCTGGCCAAGCCAAAATTATATAAACTGGAACTGCCAGGATGTCTTAGCTTTATCTGAGTTATTGTATCTTACTAGTATTTTCTAGACTATAGCTACAGAAAACTGGATGCATACAAACTGCCTACTTCCTGGCATCTGAAAAGAGGAACAGTAGATGTTATCACACATGGAGTCATTACCAGAGGTGTCTGATAGGCAGAGAAGTGTGTTTCATGGCGACTAGTACTCCACCTTGATCCAGGTACAGAACACTGTGCTCTTCCTCAAAAATCTAGAAAAAAAATTTATCTATTTAAACCTGTTATCCTTAGTATCAAGACAGCATCATAGTTCTTTAAGTAGGATCATGATAGAGGACAGGTATGTACTAAGTAAGAAGAAATTATAGAGACAGTTTCTGGATTCTGTTTTTTATTGTTAGGCTTTTTTCCTGGTCCTTGGAAAACATATTCTGCCTCTGCTAGACAGAAAGTTATAAGCATGATTTTTTTGCAAGGATCAACAGTTTCCCTCCTTTCAATGACAATTTTTTGTTTAAAGAAGAATTTCATGTGTTTGCACATGTCTGGCCCTATCTCACATAATTGATGCAGACAGAAAAATGAGGGTTGGTCAAACACTGTAAAATAATTAGATTCTTGTAATATCAAATATTGAAAAAGATTTTCTTTTCCTGTGTCTTTTTTGTATTGACTTTCTGCAAACATCTGCTCTCCAGTTTATATAGCAGCATTTGTCAGGCTGAGAAAGTTATTCTTTCTCTCCACGACTTGATATCCCATTCAGAATACAGGAATTTCCTGATCTAAGGATAAACACATTAGAGGGTATTTCTTAACAGGTGGGACTCCACTAATATTAGGAACTTGATTTTTCATCATCCCGTCTCTTTCCACAATTAGTGGAGAGATATCTTTGGAACAAGGTGATCTGAATTTTGTCTTCTTCTCCATTAGCTCAAGAGCAAGGCAAAATAGTCCATTTATATGGACACTGAACTTTGGACAACTCAGCTTAGGTGAAATGAGTCCCACATGGAGTGAGAAGAAGTAGACCAGTACAACTGCTGATTTTTGGGAAAGTAAAATTATGGATGAATTAAAAAATGGTTTGATTGGTACAGGGCATGTAGAACCATAAAAGGTAACACATTCTCTCTCCTGAGTATCCATAATTTAATCTGTTCTCTTTGCTACAGGGTTAAACTGAAGTAAAACTCTGAGTAGAACTATAAAAATAATCTTCTGCTATATGAGGTTTTACAACATATTCAGTCTTTTTTCCTTTGAGCATCTCTGTACCTTTCAGAAGGGAAGTTTACTCTTTTGTTAAGATTTGCAAATAGCTACTTTGAACCAAATGAAACAAAAATTAAATGACAGATTGAATGTACTTTTATGACGATTTCCTACGATTATTATTTAAACCTGCGATTCTGTGCCATTTACCTGCCTCCAAGTGTTCCCAGCATCAGAAGAAACAAACATGCTGATGTCATTGTCTGATAGTTCAGCACCTATATTACCTGTAAGATGACCATTGGTTAGTGATGAAACACTCTCAGAAACAGTAGAATTAGCGAATCAGGGGGAAATGTATTTATTTACCTTTTGCAGTTATAGAACTTCTAGGTTTGGGAGTATAATGAGGAGGGAGGGAAAAGGGAAAAAGGAAGGGGAAAAGAGAATGGGAAAAGGGAGAGGAAAGAAAATGGGAAGAGGAAAGGGAAGGAGAATGGAAAGATTTCAGTTTGAAGAAAATAAACATAAAAGACCCAGTACAAAAAACTCTACACACCTCCATATGCAAAGGAAATGTCCTTATTTGAATCTTATGTTCATGGGAGCAGAGGGCTAGACATGACCTCCTCTGTCTTGAAGGCCAATTTCCATAAAAAATATATGACAAGTTGAAGGTCCATAAGGACTTTCATTTGACAGTCTACCTTCTTTCCCCATACTGGTGGTATGACCTCCCACAACCACTCAACACCCTCCACAAACTCCAGACTTTGTCGACGTTTACACATCATACATAGGCAATCTTTAAATGTTTCATACCTGAAGCTACAATAATACTGGGGGCAGTATCTCGGCTGGCGATGTTTCCTGAGGTATAGGGGTTGTCTGAGACCTTCAAGTGAAGATGAAGGGAGCAATAGGGCTATAGAGAAAGGGAAAATAAAAGTAAACAGCAGATACAACAAGGCATGCTTCTATTTCTACAGGCTTAGTAACATACAGTGTTTTTCTGTACTTCATAATCCTTGCATTCAGTCACCCTTAGAAAGACAGAGCCACTTTGGTACCATTCTCTAACACAACCTGGTCTCACTGGAAAACTGATTCACCAGGCTAAAACACTATCCCAAGGACAACATCTTTGAGGATGTACCCTCAAAGGAGGGAACCAGGCTTGCAAGGACAGGTGATGGTAAGGACCACCTAGCTCTCCTGGCTCCTAGTACTTTGAGAAGCAAGCAAGGATGCAGATATGAAATGTCTCTCCGAGCAGCAGTGTTCAAGCTCTCTCTGCAACAAGAAGCAATATACCCAACTAGTGTGGTGCTAAGACACCACTAATTAGCCATGAAAAACGACTTAATTCTGACAGTGTCATACCACTTCTTGACTCTTTTTGACACATGAGTCTGTTCTGCACTGCACTAAATACAAAGAAATACCAGGACTGGAAAATGTTAGTTTTAGAGTTGTTTAAAACAACGCTTCACCGCCCATCTGGATGTGACCTTTAAGATTTCAATACAAATACATCCATGGAAGCCTTACCTATTTGCTATTGATTTTGTATGCCAGGTACTCAGATAAGACAGGAATGGTACAGAATAAATCAGCTGTGCAAGAGGGTAAGATAGACAGGCAGATTTCCCAAGCTGTCATTACAATTACCTCCAAATCTGTAGTGTGATAGTTTCTGAAAATTTCTGAGCATTTTTCCCTTCTCTTGGGTTTTATTTTCAGTAATTTTTACTTCCAAACCTCATGAACAGCCCTGCATGAAACATGTTAAGGGAAGAGAGGTGGAAACATACTGGCAAGAAAACCTGACCCAGTCAAGGGGGATATCACTGTGGAACACAAATAGAGCAAAGCCCATGCTTCAGCTTGCCCAGTTCTGTAAGACAAGCAGGAGAGGCTATGTAGAAGGACCTTCAGGCTCTGAGGAAGCAGGTTTGCCTGTCTAATATCAGACATCTAAAGTCTAGATCTGCAGCTCCAAGAGTTTGGCAGGGCTCCCCTGCAGGAGACCTAGCCCCGTAAGTCACTGGAGGAAGACCACTTCTCCATCCCATTTCAAAAGTAGGTGACTATGACTGAAATGAAAATTCGCCTCTGGAGAATGGTAGGTTTCTTCTGGCAAAGGCAAATAAGGGTGGTGAGGAGGGATGGGAGCTCTCACTTATGTGAGACAGGAAAAGGGGACATGGGTTGTGCAGACAGAACACAACCTGCCAAGTGGAATGTGCTGAGCAGCCTAACTCTAACTGACAGCCTTGTGAGCGCAGCCACTGGAGCAGCCCGGGGGTGCCGGGAGGGAGTGGAAAACAAATGGAGCTGACATGAATGCAGGAAGTGGAAAAGCATTGCAAGAGCACGAATTCTTTTCTTTTACATTTTAATAGGTTGTGAAAAGACTAAATACAGAACATATTTTTAAAACCAACATACTCCAAGTCCATTTCAGCATTTTGAAGGCAGAAGTTAATGGCAACTCAGCCAATTCCCAACTCAGATGAGACCTTGTTAGACTCAAATCTTTGTGTTACCAGAGGTATTCTTTCCAATTTGTCTCATTTCACAGATATAGTACACAAAAATGCAATATATATATATCTCAAATATAAAAAGCCAGGCCATCTGTCTAAGCAGACAGATGGTCTTTTTAGTGGCATGACTTCTTATTGTCCAGAGTGCAGTAATACTTAGAGTGCCTAGTGACAACTGGGTATGGTGTAAAAACCTTTCCACTCCTAACCAAACACCCAAAGTTAGTGCCATCTCATATCCTTACTGTGTTACCATTCTCTTTCTCATCCCTGTTGTACATCTTCTCCATCTCTGTCCTTATATAGCTCATCAACAGATATTTTTCCAGCTGGTTTGTGTTCCATCATACTGTTGGTCCCTTTGTGTTTCTCCTCTAGTTCAACTTATATACAGACGTGTCACTCTCTTTTTCAGAATTCCCACCAATTGTCTCTATCTTTTTTGTTGTTAACAACAGGCTACTAAAATTATTATCACCATCAGAATCACCAGGTTTGGGTTTCTCTGTCATTGCACAGCCACCAAGGGAAAGCACCACAGCATGGAGCATTTAAAACCTAAGTAGAAGATAAAGCATGAGTGACACGGCCCATTGCCCTGCTCACTGTCATAGTTTTTACAATGATGCTGGAGTTCATTACTTGCTTCCTAATATTTTCAATTCAACACTCTTATGCTCCCCTCTCAGGAGGCTCATCAGTCTTTAGTAAAATTTGTCATAAATATCCACAAACCCACTCCTTGGCTGTTCTGCAAAGCCCACCTGAACTGTCTCAATGGCATGACACATAGAAACCAGCTATTAGTTGCTGTCTCTGATCAGAAGGGACAAAGTATTATAACACAAGGATGAAGCTAGACACCATTCACAAACCTAGGGGGAGTCACAGTATTTGCTCACCTGCAATAGCACAAGGAGCAATGAAGAGAGACAAACACTTCCAAGAGAGATATTCAAAACATCTCACTTAGGTGCTTAAGTGAAGAAGCAAGAAGAGGGTCTTTGTCCTAAAATCCTTATAATCCATACAGACAAGACAAACAAAATGTGGGAGGGAATAAACAGATGTCTAGGGAAGCAAGGCACAGAAAAAATAAATTACTTGCCCAAGGTCACATAGGAAATTGGAGCTAGGAGTTTGGAGATAGGCCTAAAAATTGAATGAAGATTCTCCTGAGAATCATCCCTGTGTTTGAACCACTTGAAAGCTAATTGATCAACTCGCCTAGGCAGATGCCCATTTCTTGCAAGACAGAATTATTCCTCAGTTAACTACTTCACAGCACATGATAAGTATCAAACCAAACCAGCACCTTTAGGATATAATACCTTGGCAGCTATTTTATGAGGATTAAGTATATTCATCTCAGAAAACCAGTGGTATAAACAAGAAAAACAAATCCTTGGGATTACATGGAATTTCATTGCTTTCATCCAGGCACATTATTCAGAGCCATCTCACAAAAAAAAAAAAAAGAAATTCTTCGAGCTTTTTTGATAAAACCATCCTGTCAGTAGAGCGATGGCTCCGTCTGGCTCTCCTTGTGTTTCAACCAGACTCCTTCTTAACCTCCTCAGCTGCCAACTTAGCTGCTATGTACTTATTTCTGTTTTAACTCTCCCTTAGTTTAGGCTTAAAGACCAGACGCACAGAGGACACAGCGTTGCGCTTACAGGCTGGGGACCATACTGTCACTATGGGAAATGGCAGATCCCATTCTGCCAGCAAGCTGGAACATGCTTCATTCCCATATCCTGAGCTACTGCTGGAGACAATTATGCTAAAAACCAGCAGTGAGAAAGCAAATGGAGCAAGTATGGCAGCTAAGCTGGATGTACAACTGTCTATTAAGAATTCACTTAGCTATGCCATAAGGACAAGCAGGATCATGCCCCAAACAGTTATATGTAGAAGGAAAAGAAGAGGTGACATATGAAGGTAAAACATCTGGTGATGCAGACAGTGTGGCTAAAGAGGTGAGTGGAGTTTGTGAAGTGTTTAAATACTACAAATATGTAACACTGACAAGGAGCAGAATTGCTTCAGAGCGTGTATCAAAACTCCTTTTCTCCACATTTTCCCCCAGGAGAACGCCCTTATTGATCCCTGTCTTATTCCCAGGAACATACATTTCCAGTGCTTTTGATTCAAAAATTTCCCTACCATTCCCACCTTCTATGGTCTATTCTCTGTCACTTCTAGAATTCTTGCATTCTGTATTCTGCCTTCATCTTCCCCCACCATTAAGTATGAACTTCAAACAAGATTTTTAAATAGCTTGTCTCTCTCTTGCAGAATTGCTCTTTTACTTTGTGGGTTTGGTACATTTTCTGTACTTCTATCCTTCCCTTTCTATTTTAGGAAGACTGACTGTTCCTGTAAAAACCTAACAAGTTGGTTCAGTTCAGATTTCAGCTATTTGCTTTCTATCACATTAGCAAGTTGAGCACCGGAGACCCTACATGCTCAGCTGATGATCCCTGCTCCTCTACCATTCGACCAGCTTGTGACGACCTAAACATGAAGGAGTGTTCAGACAATGAAAGAGGACTCTTGCCTGTCTTACACAATGTTAGGGGAAGAGGAAAACTAAACATGGCTAAACATTCCTCTGGCCTTATTACAGGGAAGGACTGACTAAATTCCTTTCCGTTTTCCTTCTGGAAGGGCAAAGACTGAGCTACACAGTTCAAATCCACTGAGAATTTGTCCCTTAGCATCCTGAAATCATGGACCAATTTCTACAGATGCTCACAGATCTGAGATACCAACTCTGGCCCAAGTCACAGACTGTTTAAGAAGTTCAGACAAGATGAGAAGTCTACACTGAGCTTGCACAGGTGGAAGTAATTCTCAGAACAAGCACATGGTTGCATAGAGAACAAAATAAAAATGAGCCAGTGTTTAAATAGTGGTTTGTGCATGGTGGAACTTCAAGGATATAAATGCAACCCACAGAGAACCAAGAGTTTCTCTGGGTCAGTTCTCACTGTGTCCCTCTCAGTGCCCACATTCCACTCCTCCTCTTGACCCCTTGCCTGGCTTGTTCAAGTTTACAGTGAATTTACAGACTGAATTCCAGCTTGTTCAGCCACATTTGGTCCAGTTTTAAGTGAAGCTAACTGCATTCTCAGGTGCCCATGAGTATTGTAGAGATACTGTATGGACGGGAAAGTTTAAGGGAGCCATAACTTTCTGTCTCCACAAGAACCATCCAGGTCTGTTTTATACACAGTCATGTGACCACTCCATTATAACATGGATAACTACAGTGGCAGCATATCCCTATGGATAAAATACCCAATTCCTGCAAACAACTGTTCCATAAGGACCACACAGAGCAGTGTCACTGGCTCATTTATAACCACAATGGCAAGTCAGACTTCACTCGATCAGTGCACAACAATGCCAGAAAATCCCTCTTCTCAGAACTCAAACTTCAAATTTATGGAAAAAGAACAAAGTTTACTTCTATTGGTTTAATTGCCTGTGTGGCTTTTTCCCCTCTGCCTTGCCAGTCCCCTAAAATACTACTCTGTCATATCATATAATAAAAATCTTGGGTTTCTGATAAAATTGGTTCTAATTTGAAAAGGTATGGGGTTTTTACTGAATATGTTTGTTTGAGCTTAAACTAGATGATACAATCTATTTGAAACACAAACTCCTCTACACACAGTCCCTTCCAAGAAATTAAATTGCTTTATGTCTGCAAAGTTCTCTGGATGTTATCTTTTTAATTTTCACCTGATAGAAGAGTTCATTCAAAAATGCATTTAGGTATAATTTTTTAAAACTTTAAAGAAGAAAACAAACCCAAACAAATGTAGTCATAGTCTAAAATAACTCTTCTGTCTGACCTCCAGTCCTCCCCATTTATTTTTTCCAAACTGGACAGAAAAATGAAAGGCTTGCATTTTGGCTCAGTCAAAAAAATCAATTATCTGAACATCTTCAAATATTTATTCTTTGCTCTCGCAATAGTGCATGGCATTCAGTTAAGAGATTAGTGCAGCATTTAGCTACAAAATGTAATGCTCATTCAGATTCTAACAAACAGCCTCAAAATGAGAACATTATTTTTTTCAGACTGAAAACAACATGCAGATACAGGACAGCAGGAGGAAGAGCAGTATAGAGAGTGGCCCTGGTTCTGTCTGGAATCATGTACAAATTTGTGCTGTATGAATGCTATTGAGAATCCCAAAGACTGAGGTTCTGAGTATTTTCCCACCACTGTGGATAAGATTGCATCAGCTGAAAAATATGTCAAAATCAGCCTAAGCTTTCTAATTTGATAGAGATCTCCAATTCTATTCATATTGCTTATATTTCACTTTCCCTCTTGAAAACTGTTTGCATATAATGATGATTAAAGACTTAGCTGTACGTGGATCTATATCAATAAGTACAGAGATAGATAAAATATACACCAACACAAAGCTATACATATATTTGGATGAATGTGTCGATTCTCACTTCTGAGCTCAAAGAGAAAATGATAAATATTAATAAATATTAATGCCAACAGAGCAGCCTGAAAGAAATCAGAGCTCTTTTTCCCTTTGAGCCTGTCTCCAGTTATTAAGTGCTTTAAAGTTCCTGAGCTACAATAGCTCACGCCTCCCATCTAGTGTCCAGAGAATCAACTGCGCAGACACGGCACCCAGCTTCACCTGCTGTTTAAGCAGACACCATCAGTTGTGCAAAAGGAAGCTGATCCATGATGCTTTCTTTTGTTCCAAAAATTCTATTAAATTAGCCTAAATTACAACACCAGCTCTTGCAATACCCCCCGGCAGCCCAAGCCTGAAGTACTGCACTCCACGATCCACCCCATGGAGAGAGGAGCTGCCCTCTCATTCTTGTAATACCTGGAACAAACAGACTGTTCCTGGATATCAGCACCCACCACGTTCCCCCCTCAGGTACTTACTAGGAGACAGTGAATGGGATTTCCTCTCAGATCTGTGTCCGGAGCCTGCAACAAACTCCAGTCTCTCCCTTTATTGTAGGTGATGAAAGTTTTCACTTGGTTGTCAATCTTCTTGTTAGCCAAGAACATTCCCTTTATCCCTGCTACCTAGGAAAAATTGACATGGCTGAAAAATAGATTAAGTCAATGCAGGTTCTGTCCATGTGTCTCTCTCTCCCTGTCAAACCCAACAGGGATCTGGTGTTTGTGTCAGTGTGGTCGATGTCAGGGCAAGAATTGCCAAGGTACATCAAAGGAAGGCAAGCTGAGGTGCTGAGGAAAAGATAAAACCATCACAGGTGCAAAGGTGACAAACTGAAAAGAAAGCTTGTATTCCAGAATCAGCATGGGAACATGTCAAGATGTCAATAGCTTTATCCGTAGTGTGACAATCTCTCAACTGTGTAGGCATCCTTCCCCCTGAAAGATGAAATATGTACAGGGCAATTAATTGTCTCTTGCACAGCAGCAATTTTGGCCTTGCAAAGGAAACAGCAACACACAGACAAACTTGCAGTTCAATGCTTCTATTCTCATACAACCTGCTTAAGACATTTCATCTAAGGGTCCCAATGTGTTTCATAATTACCAGTGTTTCAATAGGATAACTTGGAGCACAGAGGTACTTTTGTATTTTGAGGAAACCAAAGCACTGGTGACTCAAGCAAGGCCACCCAGAATGCTAGTTATATAGCTAGCAATGAGATCCTCATCCTTTTATTTTTCCTGGTGTTTTACCCAACAGCTTAACTCCATAGACCTGCAGGAGGATTTTGTAAAATGGCACTAACAGATTCACATTGGAACCAAGCCCGAAAGTATCTTAGTGTGGAGAAAAAAAGTCAGCCTCAAACCACAACTCACACTGCAGAATGTTCCCATCTTCTCAGCACACTGAAAATCAATAGCCCAATAGCTGCTGCAGCTAGAGAATGAATTTGTTAGGCTGTCATTCTGCAATCTGAGTGCTGCAATAAAAAGGGAAGTGAAATCAGGAGGAGGGGGAAAGTGAGAAACTTTCTGGCTTCCAACAAGTCTGTTCAGTCATACACCCCATCTCTTATGATATAGAACTAGCAGACAGAATCATTCATTGGGAATATTCCTTAAATTGCATTACATGGCAAACGGTTACACAGCAGATTCAGAGCTTTTTTCAGCACAACTGATTTAATTATGTGCCTGGATTTGGATGTTACAGCTATCAGTGAACAGGACCTTAGTGCACATTTAGTCACATGCTGTGAGACTACTAGTGTGCAGTGCTTTGGACAGTACATTGGTGTACTTAGTCATTCAGAATTGCACACTCCTGCTTCAGCAATGGTACTGGATTTCATTTGAAGTTAACAGAGACTTCCATATGACTTGCTATAATGGGCAATAGCCTTTAAATTAATTAGTTAACTAATTTATTGCTGATATAAGCAGAAAAAAAAGTGAACATTTTCAATTTCTTAGCTGGATTATTTGCTCCTACCCAACTAAGTATTTCAGGATTTCTTTGTTGCCGTAGAAAGGCACCCTGAAAAGACAAGGGTACTCTGTCTCCCAGTGATATTGCATGAATAGTCAGGGCTGGAAAAATAACACAGTTCTGCCTTTACTACCAGAGGCCAGAGCCTATAGTTCCATTTGTACTGTGCTTTGTTGTTGTCCTGAAATAGTTCTATTATATAGTCCCTGTGAAATAGTGGCCATAAATGATTAAAGAGCATTTTATATATCAGGTGATAAATGTGTTCTGAAATCCTGTGAATTTTGCTTTTTATGATTCTAGTCATGGGCTGGGGATCAGAATCCTTCCCTGAGAAAGCAAAGTGTAAGTTATACTGTCAGTCTTGGATAGCTTTATCTTCAAAAAAGACTGCACGCACTATACGTGCTTCGGTACTCTCAGGAGGAAGAGATACACCTATTGCAATACACCTATTGCAAATACACAGTTATGACACACACAGTGACCTGTTCATCCCTGCTGTTCATACAGTCATGGCACAGAAAGACCCATGCAAGTGAGTGCATGCAGTGGCCAGCAAGAAAAGCACTCAATCAGCTCCCACACAGGAATTGTTAGACAATCCTCACCATCTGGAAAACATTGTGTGCAGATACAAATGCTGGTCTACAGTTTAAGAAAGATTCATACAAGACACTTGAACACACAGCTCAAAAGACATTCCCCACTGCTGATCACCACCTTCACACATCAAACACATAGTTCTCATCCAAGATACATACTGAAAAAAACCAACAAACCAGTCCCAGAGTGATAGGCCTATATACCATAGCTATAGACACATCTCCTCACAAGTCTATTATCAATTCAGGCATGATGGATTCCCACAGACAGGGCTCTCTTGTTGCAGACCAGTCCAACAAAGCCAAGAGAGCCATACCACATCATTGAAGAGACACAGGAAATAGAAAGGGCATTCAGACCCAATGATCAGTTCTTCCCTTTCTCTAAGAGATGGTCTCCAGTATAGTCCTTTTGTGAAAAGAGAACTCAAGGAGGCACCCTGAAAGAATTTTTATTTTGTCTTTGTATCCAGTGCAAATGGATGCAATGCTGCTGTTGAGCAGCATTGAGCAGATTTATCCTTGATCTAGAATCAGTTTAGGAATTACAAACCTATCCACTACAATGCAACCAGAAGAACTGACTTCTGGCACATGACAAACATGCATATAGTCACATGCACTTTAAACAGGCCTTTCTCCATCATCTTCATAAATAATTGTGCTTTTCTACATCTACTGCTGCCACCACAGAAGGACTCATTTTGCAATCTTTCCACTTCCTTTTAGCTCATCTATGGAATTTTCTTCTTCTCTAGTCTTCATCTCTTTATCCCTAAAGCACTCATTATTTGCAACAATCTGGCTCAGAGAACCACATTGGCTGGCTTTTTGTTCCCTTCCAGCTAGAACATCAAACTGAAAGGAAGGTTTGTGCCAGGTTCAGTGTCAGCCAATATTCTTTCTATCTAGATAATCAGCAGATATGACGCTGTAAGTCTGATTCCATCAATTTCAATCCAGGTTCCTGTATGGTATCAGTTGAATAAAACAAAGCAAAAGCTTTTCTTCCTCCCCTGGGATGTAGGACACCTTTACATAATGCAGTAAAACTGCTTTCTGAACTGACAGTAATCAAAGGCAACAGTTTTTCCATAGGCTGCCAGTCCTGCAGAGAGATTAAAGAGTAAAAAATGTCCAAATTACTGAAATGGCAGTGCCCTTCCTCCTACAGTTCATCTGCATTGATGTACAACACTTGGGCTCTCTGTTTGGACAATTCAAGGTGGTTTCCAAGTAAAGGGCAGCTGAAGGAAAGATAAATAGCAGAGCTAATATTCGGATAGTGAAGAGGAAATACAGAAAATATCTTCATTTTCAAAGGAACTCAGATCTAGTTCATGACCTTTATTCTAAATGGTCAGAAAACACCCTAGAGGAGACCTGAAGAGAAACTGACCCTGAAAACAGCAGCTGAGGACTGAATTTCTCCTTAGCTGAGTGCTGTCTCCAGAGGTAAAATAGGCAGCAGAGCAAGAGATGTAGAAGGGCACATTGTCATAGAAGATTGGCCTTTTTACAGGTGAGCTAAGAAGAACATACTTGTTTAGAAATAAGCCCAGGGGTAAAGGGGACATCAAAATGAGGTAGGAGAGCTTTCATGCTCAGGGGATAGCCCAAGAGGGCATATCTATAATCACTTAAGTTCCTAGCGAACTTAAAGTTAGTCCAAGCTGACAAAGGTAACAAACACAGCTGAAAACTGCTGTGTCTTCTTAACTTCTAAAACAAGAGATTAGACCATTAGAAATGCAACAAAAATTGGAGAATGATGCTATTCAGACTGTTGGGAGCTTTCAGAGCCATAGAGACAATGTGGGTCCAAAGCAGGATTTTGGCAGACAAAGAGTTTCTCTTAGCAACCAAATGAACTACTCCACTACATTCTCCTATGCATGAAAGAGCCATGTGCTCTTCTTCACCTGAGAGGAATACCTTGGCAAATACAGCAGTGAATCTGTATAGCTGGGCCTAAATTCAACATCTCTGTAAAACCTGGCCCTGAAACTCAGCCAACTGCACAGAGTGTGTTAAGTAATAGGAGGGTTAAACTATGTGTTTAGTCACTTTTTGGCTTTGCTGTTCACATACATATTATGAGACTGATGTGCAAGAAGGAAACGGTAGTGGCATCATGTGAACTCCTGAGATAGAAACGGGATGTTTGGTGTTATGACATACCTCATAGAGGTCAATCATCACATTCCCCTCCAGCCCTTGACTACTCTTGACATTTTCCAAGGCCAGGGTGAAGTAGATCCCTCGGGTGTCGGAGATGTACAGATTGTATGTGTCATTCTGGTTCCACTCTTGTACAGCTGCAAACACCTGATTCTCATCTGTGCTGATAACATGCATGTCCTGGGGAAAGAAAAGAGAGGGAGGTTACTAGAGGGAGCTCTGCACTGTCACTTCCAAGGGCACCAAACTAGATGTGGAAGAGCTAGGGATATATTTAGGCTGGTGTTTAATCGAAGACTGTAGACAATAGTGCTGTAAGTGGGTAATTCCATCCAGGAATATTTTACAAAGCAATAATTAACCGATGAGGTGTTAATTGAACATTTACATTGGCAATACAGTGTTATACAGTAGCACTTTCACCCTCCTTTCATTTTAAAGAGTATTTTGTCTGGGGTGTAGGGAGGGTTGTTTATTTGGAGGTTTTTTTTCTTTTGGCACCTGAGTGATTCCACTTGTGATTGTGGAATCACAGATATTAAAAAAAATTAGAGTGTGGTTTGGTTTTTTTTGCTTCTTGCTGAGCATTCAGAAACCAAGTATGCTTGGGAAGTGATATAAGGAGTATCTAATGGTTTAACATCTGCAGCCAGTGCTGCTATTATCTACTGTTTCTAATGAAAGTGTGGACTAGAGTCAAGGCTCTGGACCACTGTACTAAACACCAGACCCCAAGAAATAAAAGAGAAAAACAACCTTAATTCTCACTGAAAAGAACAGAATTGCAGTTAGACTACTAGTGTTATGAGTGAGGTTTTGTTTTACTGTGTTCTGTGTGTTACAGCAGGTAGGAAGCATAAAAAGATTGCATAATTACAGGGAAAAAACAGAAACTATTGAACCTGATTCCATCTTTCAATGCCTGGAGAAATAATTATCCCATGGAAAAAGCCACCAAAAGAGAGATTATTACATTGAAATTCCCAGGCTCTATCTGCCCAGCATGGGCACCCTGAGTTCTTTGGTGCCAGAAAAATCTGGGGGGGTAGGAAAAGAAATGCAGATTTCTTAGCACCAGGTGATTCCCAGAAGACTCAGCTGTTCTCTCTGCTTTGGGCAGATATCCCAAAGTTATTCTGCTACCATGAATCTCAGCCAGGGCTTTCTATATGCAAAACAGGGAACTCTATCAGAAAATATACTCTTTGGAAGCTGATGCCACTTCTTCCCTCTGTTAATAACAGTCTTTGACAATTTACTATCTTGTGGCTTTTTAAGGAGAATTAACACTTCCAGATGGGGCCTTGTAATGTACAGATAAAAATAATATAATGAAGAAATTTGATCTATGAAAAGTGGATTCAGCATGGAGTTGAGATTCAGAACAGCTGTTTGTTCATCCAGATCTGGATCTGAATACAGAGAGGATGAATATGCACTTGATTTACTTGCTTCTTTGCACTGGAGAAATCACATCCCAGAAGATGGGCTGGTTTTGTGGAGGAACAGATTGGCTTAAATCCTGAGGCAATAGGAAAGGCAATATAAGTTCTACTGCCTTCTACTAATTTTGGCTGTGAATAGACATCCTTTCTAAGCTCCAGCTGTGCTAGTAGAAGCTACTGCCACAGCTGTTTGTCTGAGGCTCCTTATTTCAGATTGCCACCCTAGTCAATCTGCTGGTAGATCTACATGAGTTGGTGTTCCCAATGTGCTTCAGGCAATATTGGCTAGCACAGCTCTAATCTCAAATTTTAACTCCTGCATATGTACACACATGGGCAGACCTGTCTATTTAAATATAGACAGAGATTATATGTAAAACTTGTTTTGTCTGCTGAATGTACCATTTCATTAACTTACCATTTCAATCAATAGTTTTGTAATAACTAGGGGAGAAAGGCAAAAAGATATTTTGATCAGCACCAGAGAAAATTAAAGGCCATTTCATGAATACTTAAAAAGCAAATAAGTACATTTATTCACGAGATACTTCCTGAGTTTGATCAGATCAGGCTGTAAGATGCAAGCCTAAAGAAGATTCCAGTAAGGCTAAAGGAATTTAAGCCTGGGGAAGTGGAGATTGAGACTCAATTGCCATAATATATATTGTGCAGAAAGTCAAAAAAGGCGACATTCCAACTGTTTTCCTTTGGGGATCAGTTAACTCTTCCTCTTAATATGGTCTTGCCCAATAGATGCAGCAACAATGACAGAAAAGGATCAGTATATGGACATCAAACAGGTCTTTGACCAACATCAGGATTTTTCTTGTTTCCACACTGGTAAAATTAATATTAATTACCATATCACAGTCACTTTTTTTTGGTTTTTTTTTCAGGATGGTTGATTTTTTTGTGGGAAGGAATAATACAAAAAGACAGTCTTCATCTTGATATGGAACAAGCTCTTTACAGAGATGGAAGAAGAGAAGAATACGAAACACTGCACCTTTCTCAACCACAGGTCATCGTCTTCAGGGGCTCCCCATGCATCTGTGTGCTAAGACCCTGAGATTTTTTCTGTCTGTTCCAGCACATAATGAAAATACATTAATATGCAGTTCTACTATCAGTCCCTCTTGCCTTTCCAAAGACAAAAGAAACAGCATGGTGCTGTACACGGGTTTGATCAGGTATCTGCTCAACTGACTAAAGGCCAAGGCTTTCTGAATCACTAAACATGTGTCAATTGCCCTTTTTGCATTTGGTCAGGGAACTTTTCTTCCTGGCAAGCTAAAGAGTAGGGATGTGTAATGCCTGTTTTATTCTGACAATTAGTAGGGCTGTCAGCTCTTTTAAGGTCTGTATTTAAGGAATTCTTTTTCTGGTCACTGCTTCTTCCATCATGATGTGCATCCTGAGGCTGAAAGAAGGTGATGAATTTAAAAGAGAGGTACTATATGCACCCATCCCATCACTATTCAGTCCAACACCAGTTAAGACAGCCTTATTAAAAGAGAAATTGCTTGGCTTGCTTCAGTATTCTCACATGTCTGCCCAGCACATTGGTCTACAGTGGAGTAAATGTACTCTGTATCTACATTTCAGGTGATTATTATGAGTGACACTACAGTCTGTGACAGAGCCCACATTGTGGTGCTGTCATACAGAATAGGCACTATCAACCTACAGATCAATGTCATTGCAAAAATTACCAGATGACAACAAAGATTATTTACAAGGTTAACACAACCTGTATTCACATACACAGGCATCTGCTTGTATGGGAGAGAGTTTCAAGTTCATTTAGGTTTTTAATCAAACTAGCTGCCAGGCTGTTAATGTCAACAAGAATAATATTTTAGTTTTGATTTGCTGTAGGCCATCCTGCCCGAGCAGCAGTATCACCTGCCAAAGCTGCCTGCCATCACACGCCTCCAGTTTAAAAAGAGTGACATGCAAAGACAAAAAAAAAAAAAGGCTTGATATTTCCATCTTCGATTCCAGAAGTCACTTAGTGCTGTTTATCATATTTGGCCCCTCTTTCTTAGCTGAAGGAGATAAAAGAGAATTTGGGCATAAAAGAAGCTGTTTGTTTCAATTCCTTGAACTGCATTCTTCTTAGAAGTGACTATGTTGCTTTGATAGCAGCCTCCTAGACAGCCACAGCTCCACTGTAGCTCTTTCCAAGCCAAATGTATCTCTTCAGCCTTTGAAGTTATTCCGAGATTGTGACAAATCATCTTTCTTTGGGTCAAATAACATGAATATATTGCTCCAATTCCTATTCTCTGAGAACACATTGCAATTTTATTGTAGTACATTTTCCCTGGCTCTCCAGAGATCTCTTTGAGAAGGTGGACAGAAAACTAAGTGTGGGATAAAGGAGATGAGTTTAAAGCAAACGGTCTCTCTGCAGATGGTCTAAATCAGCTGTAAATGACAATTTTTATTTGGGTTTTACAATAACCATTCTAAGATGCAAGTCCTCTGCTAAGGGGTCCTTCAAATAACATCTGTTTAAATTTCCTCTGAATTGACAGAGTAATTTCATCCTGCTTGGACAGGAAGTTTCAACTCAACCTATTTTTAAATGTGACTGAAGATTTTGGGGCAGACCACAGGTCTCGTGTCAGAGCTAAGAAGATCTCATGGTTTCTGGTATGGTACTCAATGCCCTGTAAGCTGTGTTTTCAGGAGGTGTAAACAGGAGCAAAGGCTACACAGCAGAGTAGGCAAGGTATGGCACTGAAGGCCTGGGTTTGAGCTGCAGTCTGTTTATATGAAGGTCACACAGTCAATACACTATAAACAGGTCACTTGGGTTGAGGAATCAAAGACAGCCAGCTGTGATATTAGCCAAACAATCTCTTTGAATATTTCCACCTACAAAATCTAATGTACTTTCAACTTCTAGGAACAGGCTGACCTTGTGCCTTTTTTTCATTTGATAATCCTTGCTTAATTTCTGGGAATGCATCTGTCTTCAGATGTTAGACCTCCTATAGAATCCATGGGATCATTTACTACCTTTGAGCTTAAATTTTATTGATGATATCAAGAGTGAAAAGGCCAAAAAGAAAAAAATCCTGTCTTTGTTAAGAAGCCATTAGGACCCCAGCTGCAAAATGGTGGTTTCTCCAAAATAGAACTAACATTTTATATAGGTCTTTTAAAAAATTCAGCTCCACAAGGCAGAAATACCCTTTCAAGCTCCAATGCTAATTCACCATTGCTCTTAATTAGGGAAGATACAGAGCAGACACACAAAGACATCTCTTTGCTTGGTTTCCATTAAAATCTGCTAATGAGGCAAAGCACAAAAAAAACCCAACCCCACACAAGACAGGGACAGGAGAGGGGAATTTTTTAAAAAAAAAAAAAAAAAGAAAAAGAGAGAATCCCCTCCAAAACTTAATTAACTAACCATGGGCTAATTGACACGGGCGGTAGTATCTGTCTACATTTCATGCTGATGTCCTTGACTAGCCAAAGTGCTGACTTTTGGTTTTAGTCCTTTCTTGCTTGCAAATGTTCTGTGAAACAAGAATGGTGTTTTCACTCATTGCATGTAATCTTGTAGCCAATTGTGTTGGATTCAATATTTTCTGTAGTGTCAAAATATCTGTAGACTACATTCTAGCAAGAGCAACCTACCTTAGGCAAGGAGTACTTTGGCAGCTTCATCTGTGCAAATGGGTTCCTCCTATAAGAAACGTAATAATGCGGTCTTCCTCCTGATGTCAACTAGGAGAGAAGCAGAAAAGTTATCATCAGGGAGAACATCAAACAAAAGATGTTAAGAGAAATATCACAGTGTGGTGGTAATGACTTAAAACTGCAGTACTGTTACAGCTGATGAAGAAACATTGATCCAATGGACAGTGGCTGAAAAAGAAAACAAGAGGAATCCCATTTTCTGCAAAGAGAGACAAAAGCCAGAATTTCATGTAAGACCTGGGAAAAGTGACTTCACTTGAGCCATTATGTCACCAGCTGATACCACAGGTCTCCTCTGCATTACCACAAAATTGTCTGTTATTTGCTATCTGCACATCTGCTGTGTCGGCTGTTGATTAGATCAGCAGATTGGCAGACATGAGGTTTGGTTTCTATTTCTGTTCCCATCTTTGGTTCCTGTGTGGCCCTGTGCAAGACACCATAGGTATCTGTTATGAGATCAGCTGAGCAGTCACTGCTATGGAAGGCAGGAGAAGCTCAGTTGATTTGACATTTCTGTGAATCTGGTCATTTATCTAAGGGCATAAATACTGATGGCAAGACCTCAAAAATGCTGGGTTAGAGCAATGTGAGGTATCACTTTCTACCACCTGTTAAAGGATGGAAAAAGAAAGAAGAAATAGCTGTCAATTTTATCCGGCTTCCAGTGCTGCTGAAGTATAATCAATGTTTGTAAAGTACTTTGAAATCCTTGGATGAAAGACACAGAAGAACAAATATTCCAAGGGATTCTCTGTGCAGAATTTTGCTTTAATTGCTTGATATCTGAACTTATCAAGACCTTTCTTTAATAGTAAGTGTATTAAAATGCACTGCAGTAGTTTAAAATGCATGATACACAGATGTTAGGTTCATATCGCATTGAGTAAAATAATCACTATTTCTTATTCTGAAGTTCTCCAATATTTTTTTAAGGCAGCTGGGCAAACGTTAGGGGAAGCAAAGCCAGAAGCATTGTTTATGAGAGAGTGAGTTTGAACATAAAACACAGTTTAGTGAGAAAATAACCACCATTCCCTTATCCTAGTGCTTTTAAGCCTACAAATCCTCATTCCAAATGGCTTAGTTGCAGAAAAGCTAGACAGAGGTCAAGGAAGGTAAGGAAGGCTAGAGGAGGGTGTTCATCTATTCTTCCAAGCTTTTACAGCCTAGTACAGGGTTATTCCTCCTTTAAAGAACAGTGCCTGGGATAACGCAGGTTCCAGCATCAGCCATGATGCATTATATAACAGTTCCTTGCCAGCCATATAGATCCAGATACACATGTAGCCACTTGAAGAATTCCATTTTAAATTACTAGCCAACACTGACTACACAGAACAAAGCAGAGGTGGTTTCCAGGGATTACAATATTATTATTTCATCCATCAATTCTGGGGATTACAATATTATTATTTCAGACATAAATATCAATTATTAATGATTGGCAAGTGCTGCCTCTTTGGCTGGTTGTATTTATTATCCTAAGAAGTTTAAGAATTAAAATGGGAGCTTTCCAAATCCAAATATTACAGCATACCTTCCCAAACTGCATTACGCACATGAGTACATAGAGTTGTGCAAAGTCCCATTGGGCATTAAGGGGAACATGGTAAGAAGCTGCCTCTCCTTCTTACATGGTGCATCTAGCATGGAGGCAGAACAAAGTCAAAATTTGACATCACTGGGAACACTATACAGCAGTTTATGGACAGAAAAAGAAATGCATTAAAATACAAGGGCTATCCACAAAAGCAGACAGTCTCCCCAGCACTGACTTCAGATGAAGCAAAGAGGTTGGCTTCTCCACAGCATGTAATAACATGAGGTCAGAACAGAGAAGACTAACAATCTTGAAAAGCACAAAACCAAGGCATCAGTGATGAAGCAATGAATCAATTCACATATGAAAATAAATACTCCAGCTCCCATGTCACTCTTGCACAATGACAGTCATTCTGAAATAAGAGAGCATGGCTAAACAATGATGCACACCCCTGTTTTCCTTAGCACATAAACATTTCATTTTTGCCTCAGACATACTAGGCATAAAAGCTATTCTGGAATGTATGTCCTAGATTTATTTGTGGATGATTTACGCTGATGTTTAAGACTGAGTTCATTAAGTGAAGGCAATTAGCAATCAACTCACCCCATGTTTTACGGTCCCCTCTCTTCCCTCCCCTTACAAGCGTGGCAGAATGTAACCTGTCTAGAAGCCCAGTTTAGTCCTAATGCTTTCCAGTTCACCTCCATGTTCCCTTCAAATCTGTTGTTATTTTTGTCCTCTTCAGCTGATATCAAATGGACACTGGCAGCAGCCTAATGTAACCCACAGTGGTTCAAATCTATTCACCAGCTCTCACCTGAAACACAGTTTGGCTGAGTACATCTCATCTTCAGCCTTTTCATTATAATCACAATTGAGGCATAACAATAAGGCCTGATTACTCCTCCCTTGGTGCTTTCCCTGCCTCCCTCCCTCCTTTTCTATTTCCCTCTCATGCTCAAAAAAGCTTTGGTCTACTCCCTTGTAATAGCAGATGACTGACAATGCCACTTCAGCTGGGGGGTTAAAGCAGTAATTCAAGAGTGCTGATGACATTGCAGGGAGTGGCACAGAACACACCAGCACATATGGTGCATACTCCAGGCAGGAACTCTGCGGCCCTACAGTGACAACATATTAGAGGTAAAAGGAACACTGTTAGCATTGTAACAAAGTGCTACAATCCACTCAATGTCTTTATTATTACATCCAATGTTATCTGATTAGTTGCAAGCTAACACACATGCACATACACACAAAGGAATGGAAGAAAAAATAATATAGAATAATATAAAATAGTATAAGCAAGAGTAGAGGATGTTCTGCACCTGAACAAAGACATAATCGCCCTGGACGATCAGGGAGTTATGGTCAATATAGCCTGGAAAGGGTTTACTGCGAACGGCTTCACTGCAGTTCTGCATTTTGCAGGTGATGTATTGGGCATCTGAAAGAAAAGAACAAAAACAACACACTTGAGATCCTGATTCTTCCTACTGTCACAAAACTATTTGCTGAGGTAGCATTTTTGCTTCCCAGACTCATGTGACATGAATTGACAGCATCCATTCAACATCACACAACATTCTTTCCCTTACACCCTTCATAAATTCATCCTTGATTACTTTCTTCCTTTAAGTTCCTTCCCTCTTCACCTGCCTCAGCCTCCCATTATTTCTTTTATTCCACTCTGGATCAGACATCAGAGCTATACATTTTTGCCAAGTGAGAATCCAGCATAGCTGATCTGATTACTCTCTGTCATTATTGTGGTTCCATGCTGGAAATATACAACAGGTAGCATTTGAAGGTGGCACAACACAATTTTTTGTGGATCAGGTCTAACAGAAACCTAGCAAAGGGAGTATTATGCAGTGCAGTAACCTGTCCTGCTGTGTTTACCTGGATGCTACCCAGGCTTAAGCTTAAAGCAAGGAACCGAGCAAGGGAACAAAGGTTGCAAAGGACCCTTTACAGAGGCAAAAGCTGCCGAAGTCCTGTGACTCCCAAAGTAATTATGGGTCTGAAGGGTTGTGTCTATGCAGTGGGACAGGTATCCCCTGTGCTGAGTCTCAGCAGTTTCTCTGTCATCCCCATGGTGTGGGACTTGCTGCAGAGCATGACAGCTTCTCCATGGTCATGTGCTGAGTTTTAGAACATGGCCAAAGTCCAGATGTTGGACACAAGCAGGATGACACCTTCAGAGGATATATGTCCTATAGCATCACCAAAGAACATCTTCTACGATGCACCTTTGTATTTCCCACAGCACTTACACTCTGCAGCGTAATTCAGATCACCTCAGAAAGTAACTCAGACCACCTCCTGTTCAGAGGTTTTACAATGACAGTGTAGGTAGATGGACTCTGGCAGACCTGAGAAATCATTCCATAGTCTTTTGAAACTAGATGGTCTAGAAGTTTCAAAGTAAAAGGTCTACATGCAGCCATCAATCTTGCAGCCATGAAAGCCATCTCATCCACTGCCACCATGTGGCATGTCCTCATCTCCTGTTCTCAAGCAGTGCAAGGTGCTCATCTCATAATCTATCACCTGAAGACAAATAACTTGAATTTCTTCATGTTGGTAATTTATCTTAGAATACAGGACCAGATCCTCAGTATTCAATTTGGACTCTTTCAGATCAATTAAGAATTTGCACTCTGTTTAATGACAAACCTGATCTACAGGAAGAAGGATTTAGGCATTTTAGCATTAGTACTTACATGACAGTAATGCCACATGGCACCTAATGTTAAAAGTGATTCTAATTGTTTCCCTCAGAGAGGTGCAGCCACTTGTTTGATATAATTATCACCTTCTGATCAGAGAACTAGCATTTTACACTGCAATAGAATTGGCTGGAATTTTACCATCTCATATTTAATCTTAGTTTTAATTAAAATCCATCACTTGATATTTCTTTCCTTGCTTCTAAGGGCTGTTGACTTCTGCTTGAAACAGACATGCAGGGCAACGAACCTTCAGGAAAGTCTGATGAGGGATGATTTGACCCTGGCATTTGCAGAGTTCTTGGAATATATAAAGTGCTAAGTATTATTAGTCACTGCCATTTGTAACATTTTATGCTTTTGCAGCTCACTGCAAAACATTAATGAACACAGCCTGGACAGCATGATCGAAATGCATTTCCTTTCAGAGGGACATGATTTTTTCCACATTAGCCACAAGAGGGCAGGGAACGACATAATTCCCAGCCTGCTCATTTGAGTGAGCTCAGGAAAATTCCCTTTCGAGAGCCATTCAGCCCTCTGTCCCTCTACGTCCAGGAAGGAGGGGGACAAGGGGCCAAAGCCTCCTCCACCATCCAGTAGTATAGTGTTGTGGACCATGTCCCCTCGTTATAAGACAGAGAATGAGCACGCACCTTCTCCCTTGCAACACAGCCAATTCCCACTCCTCCTGTTTAATCCAATCCATTGTATCACGAAGGATAGCCTCCACCCCCACCACACCTGCCCCAAATTCATAGTGTCACAGAATGGTTTGAGTTGGAAGGGACCTTTATGCCCTGCTGCAATGAGCAGGGACATCTTCAACTAGATCAGGTTGCTCAGAGCCTCATCCAGCATGACCTTGAATGTCTCCAGGGATGGGGCACCTACCAACTCTCTGGGCAACCTCTGCCAGTGATTCACCACCCTCAATGCAAAAATCTTCCTTATATCTAGTATAAATCTACCCCCTTTTCGTACAAAAGCATTACCCCTTGTCCTATTGCTACAAGCTCTGCTAAATGGTTTGCCCCCTTTGTTCATATAGGCCTTCTTTAAGTGTTGGAAGGCCACAGTAAGGTCACCCTGGAGCCTTCTCTTCTCCAGGCTGAACAACCCCAGATCTCTCAGCCTGTTCTTACAGGAGAGGTGTTTCAGCCATCATCTTTGTGGCTTCCTCTGGACTCACTCCTACAGGTCTAAATCTTTTCCTGTGCTGAAGGCTCCAAAGCTGAATTCTGTACTCCAGGTGGGGTCTCTCATTCTGTATCAAGAAGGTTCCTGAGTGAGGCAGTTCTGAGCTTAAACAAAGGAGCCTCAGTTGAAATGGATGGCCCTACTACCATCCTAGCTGTTGATAAGACTGGGTGGCTTTTCATACATGGAAATGAACCACCCAGCACGGAGATACACAGGATCAGACCTCTGTTTCATAGATTGGTTCCTTTGTAGGTTTTTTCCCCCACCATCATTGTCTCCTTTTACTTCCACAGGCACACCAGCTGTGTGGGACACACTACAAAGAGACTGCAGTGCTGTATTACTTCCCATGCAAAGGGGTTACCTACACTGAGAGCACAAGGAGGTAACGGGATGCTGGCAGCAACCAGCAAAGAAGATTAAGGAATCTCCTCCAGAAGAGATTTTAAACAGCAGGCCAGGTTGACATCCATTAGAGGTGACTGAAGTTCTTTTGATCCTGTTTTAATGGAGGAATGGAGACTATGCCTATTTCTGCAGTGATCACAGGAGTCTGTGCAGCAGTGATTGTACCATTGATGAAGATTTACTAAGGCAATTCCTGTGAACTTTTACAGTGCAATTCTCCATGGCTTCAATTCTAAAATGCCAGTAATAACTACTAAAGGGCAGAGCACTGAAATTGCTTAAGCTAATCTCCCAAACAGCCAAACCCTGAGATGTGCACAAGAAAAGCTCCCTCTGCTATGGGAGAGAGGAAGAAGGAAAAGCAGGCTTCTTGCAGTGCCTGGATCCCTCTTTTTTTCTAGAGGAAGATTTTCTGTGCTCACATTAACTCAAAGATTTTTATTTTTTTTTGTGCCATTTGATTCTCCTGGACATTTTATGTGATTCCATTGGTGGAGGTTCGTAATTTAGCATTAATTAATGTCAATTAATGCATTCAGTTGCTAAGCTCTGGAATTAATTTCATTAGTTTTCCTGCACAGATGTTTTCCCTGCCATAGGTAATTAGGACATTATGCTTTTCATTTCCAGAACCCTCACCTCTAACAGCAGCTGCTGTTTTTAATATACAACAACAAAGTCACGCTGTGCCTGGAGAAAAGAACATAGCAACTCCCAGCTCTTACACCCCCAGACACTTTGATTTTGACAGGTTTAGACACCCAGAGTAGGATTCTTCTCAGGGAATGGCAGCTATTTCTAAAAAGGAAGCAAGAAAAGTCACAGAACACAAGAATGCAGGAGACATCTTGTAAGGGAAACCTCTGACAAAATTAATCTGTTTCAGTGGTGAAAGAGAATTGCAAATGCTAACACATAGCAAAAGTTAAGAGCCAGAGGGATTTTGTGCCATGAAATATTTTAGTATTTTCTGTTTAGCTTGAGCTCCATGCTAATATGTTCTCAAGGGAAATGGATCCAACTTGTCCCAGAGACATTTCTTGGCTCAGTTGGTGGAGATGGAAGGTTATTCGTGGTTACTGGAGGTTGGTGAGCTTCTGCAAAAGTACACAGGAGAGTTTTAGATCCCTTCCAAAAGCAGAGCAGGACTTTCTTCAGGATATTTTTTGGCTGACTGCTATTTCAGATGACATATCAAACCCTAATATATACTGCCTTCTAGTCTAAGTTTGCATGTATATCATTCAAAAACCTTATTTGATCACAAGGAAAGTCAGAAAATATTCACTGTACTCACTGCAAATGGAATGTTTTTGTTTTTCTTGTCTTTAATTCATTGAGGAATGTGTCCTTCTCTCTACAAATAAACCCACTAAGGACAAATCAGGAGTTTATGTAAAGCATATCCACATTATCTATGATTTGTTTCTCTTCCACATTTTCTATGGAGTATCTCAGTTCAACTTAGACATTAGGGATAGTTTCTGCTTTTAAAGGATGACTGGCATCCTGTAACTAATGAACCATAAGAACATGGTAGTAACATATGCCACTGAAAGGCGCAGGCCTGTAACCCTTCTCCACCAGTGACTAATAATACAAGTCTAGAAAAGGGTATAAGAATTTTGTCCAGGTGCCTTAGTAGTCCAGGTACACCGTCAGCATTCACAATCAATGGCAATGAAATGCAAAATTTAATTAATTGTTCTCCCATACTTTAATCTTTCTACCCCTTTTTTTTTTGAGAAACACACAAAATGATTGCTCTTTATCCATTTCCATCTGGTCTGAATGTTGATTTGTGGAACATTCATGGTATGGGAATATGCTCACAACTCTCCAGGACTCAGCAAGTACAAAGCAATTAACCAGTAATGAAGATCAGTGAAACGAAACCATCCCATTTACTAACTACTCACAAATCTGGTTTTATCCTGCTGCTACTCTTTCTTCATTACATGTCAGCACCAGGAATCTTCCTTTACATGAGGAAGTATATCCTCTGCCATTTCTGGCATAAAGCTATAATTAGAGAAACTAACAGATGTCATTCTCCAGGACAAATCCTAATTATATTCAGGAAAAACACTCATGACAATCAGGGAAAAAAAATATCACTGCACAGGTTTAGGGCACTATGGAAATTAAGTCACCACTCCAGCTATATTAGCAAGAGACTGTCAGGCTAGTTTGTCATTTTTTCCTCAACAGTGATTATTTTATTTCTCCTAGGAATTTTCTGTGAAAACAGGAATTAAAGTCCTAGCACAACTTTGTGATTCAGACACTAGCAGCCAGATGCTTAGTCCCTGTTGATCAGCAACCAGAACATGTCTGCTGCCCCCAGGTGAGACTTTGGTCTTACCTTCATCACAGTGGCACCTTAATTACCTTTCGATAGAAGAGCTGCTGTGTAAATCAGGACAGCAGAAGAAAGAGCAAAGGAAACAAAACTACTTCTTAAATACCAGAAGCTCTCTAATATTTTGGCAGCATATTAGAAAACCCCTTAGCTTCTTTCATCCATGCTTTCAAAAAAAATTTACATGAATTAAAAACTTTACTCAAAATCATATATATCTCTATGCTTATCTACATAAGCAAATGCATGCCTCATAAATGTAACAGCTGGTTTTCCTGACTTGCATTTATAGAAACTGTCCTTTAGACAACCTTTGAGTCAGTTTTGCCATTCTTTGGAGGCCAGTGGGTATCCAGTTAGCCTTCAAATGCCTTGCAGGAATCCATCTTTCTAATTCTCATCAACAGTCTGGATTCCTCAATAGGCATCACCTGAATAAAAATTATGTCCCATGTCAGTTAGCTTGAATCAGGCCTTACTGGGATAACCCTACCTAGCTCAAATCAGGCAAGCCCATTAATTTAGGATCTTTCAGGACTTCCATATTCTTTGCAAACCTAAACCCCACATGTCATTAAGTTTACACCTTCTGAAAGCACTTCAAGCTGCATTTGAGCAAACTTAGATTTAACTTCCACTAGTCACTCTACTTGCTGACTTTGGTGGTGAATGCAACAAAGAGCAGCTTATCGTGTGGTTAAGAACTGTAGGGGATTAATTGTCTTACTGGGGTGTTGACCTGAAGCCAGGCAAAAAAAAAAAAAAAAATCACAATTCCTGATGACTTTGCCGTTTTGCCTTTGATCCTGTTGCAAAATCAAAGTGGAACACCAGGGACACCCAAGCATACAAATGGAAATGTGAGATAAGGTTCATATGAACTTCTTCCAACCAGAATATCAGGTTTTCCACTATGCTCTCAGTCCCAGCTTGACTTGGATTGGGCCTGAAGCCTTTGAAAAAATAAACAAAACCATCACATTTCACTAGATGAAAATTTTCCTGGTGTTCTCCAAAACTGACAGGACAGGATTAAAAACCTAAATGGCAATGATTAGCCCTTCAAATCTCCCTCCGTCAGTACAACTAAATTGAAGAGACTGTACTAAGTTTGTAAATCCCTACCTGCACCCAAGTTTGGTAAGACAGAGTGTGTTCAGAAGGAGTCCAGATTTTTCTGGATCCTGAGAAAAAAAAAAGGTAGGGAGAACATGCACTCAGGAACAACACTGCTAGCCTGATCCTCAGCAGGCATAAATCAACACGCCACTGAAGTGATACTGTGCCTGCTAAGAGACTCTTGGTTTGGTCCTTGCAAACTTTTTACATTATGTACATAAACACAATAAATAAAATCCACAGACAGACTGTAATAGGGAGCAGAGATAGAGACTCACTGGTGTTCTTGCAAGGAAAGCACAATACTAAGGTTGCTGCTGATAGATGTTCTCAAATAAGAACAACAAACAAGAGAAGGGCTAACCCTGTACCCTGCTGACATTTCTACCTCTTCTCACCTAAACCTGCAGTTGTACTATTCACCTTCTGCTAGAAAGATACCAGCAATAGAACGAGTTCTTTTTCCCTTATTTCTACTTAGTTTAGCAGTTTTTTGCTTAGCCTTATATTTCCACTTTAGGATTTTTTATTTTATTTTATAGATTGTGCAGCTGTTTCCACACTACTCCTCTTTCTTTCCTTCTTTCTCTATGCCTTGTTTTGGCAAGTCTATCTTCTCAAATTTAATCCCTTTATTGAAATTTTACACTCGATTAACCCTCAAAAGAGATATTCCAAACAAAGTATAAATACATAAATGCAAGAACATTTTTTTAAAAGAGCCCTAAAAATGCAAGAAAAATTACTTTAAAATTACCCTCAGTTGGGAAAAAATTATCTTTCTCACTTCAGCACACTTCACCCTATCATCCCACTGCCAGTGACACACCTGTTCCATTGCAGAGGTGAAAGGTTTTTTCATCCATTGGAGGGTAATGATTACTTTGTGCAGGAAAAGGAGAATGATTTAGTACTTACAAGAGAGCTCTAACATCCAAGAAACCTGTATATACCAAGTTAGTCATGGTAACTGGATTCATGGACCATGTACATACTATTTGTCTGTCTTGGTCTTAAAAATCCTACGGCCTGCAGTGCTTCCAAATATCTGGCAAAAAGTGCTGTGTTATGTTCCAAGGTTACTGCTTCCAGCTACCCACCACGGTCCTCTTTGGAGCCCAACACTCTCTGGAGCAATGGGCAAAACTGAGCATGCACTTAATGAAGATGCAACATATTCTCTTATATCGCCAGTGAAGTGAGCTGGAGACCTCCTGACTCATTAACAGGACTTTCACCCAAATCACTGGTTTGCAAGAGGGATCACCACTGGCTGAAGGTCTGATACTACTCACACATTCACATTAGTAGTTCTGTCACTGACTAAACTGAAAAAATTAACTTGTGCTGCCGTGCAACTAAGTCAATATAAATATACAGAATCTGTTACTAAAGCTCAGTTGATGAGCAATGATTTGTTACTCCACATGAATTTTACTAATAGTTTGACTCCTCAGTGAAGCCAGTTTCATCTACATTTTCTTTTGTTTCCACCTTAAGAGCTGTAATAAAGCTTACTGATTTATAAAGCACACAAGTCTTTTGTAGAAATGTGCTACAGCTGTACAAAATGTTCTTATTTTAGCCTAAGACCTCAAACAAGACCATTCAAGGCATTTGGAGCATGGCACTGTCTCTGCCCACTGTGAGCTGAACACCCTTCAAAAGCATCACCAGGATGCACCTCCTTAAATATCACTTGTAGTGCAGTGCTTCATCTCAATGACCTCAACTTCTTAATAATTTATAACAGCAATATTTTGAGCTGAAACAGACACTGTCCTGTAAGAATATTTTATTTTCATTTAGCATGTCCCAAGAAATAGAAAGCCTCATGTTCCCAGCCTTGCCACCATATGCAGGTAAGTGAAATTGAGAGGTGAAATAATAATCATAGATCACAAATTATAAGAAATAGAGATAATACCTCCTTTCACTTTTACTAATCTTGGACGTCTTGAAATAGAAAGACCTTTAAAACTTTATGGCTTCTATCTCAACTGTTTCTTTTCAAAATTCATCTTCCAAAAAATTCTCTTTAAAGCTAGATTTCCATAAGTTAAAAACCAGGTTACCTTACAATTAACCTTTCAGATAGTTTTTTAGTTTCCAATGACAAAATACACATTTTAAGTAACATCACTGCACTTGAGTGTACAATTCAAGGGAGAATTTTATCCATGTGAAAAGGAATTACTTGACTGCATCATTAATACTTCTACATTGCAAATGGTAAAAATCTTCTTGTTATGTTGCAGCAAAGCTGCTATTTACAGAGGAAACAATACAGAATTACAGTGACTAGATTTATGGCAGCCAGGCTTTCAGTGTGATGCCAGCCAGAGGCAATCCAATGTTGTGGAAAAGAAATCCATGGAGCAAGATCTGCAAAGGCCGTGAAGCTCAAAGATAAACCTTGAGGAAGCATGGATGGGAGGAGAAAAGGCCAGCAGGTGGCTTAGGGTGCCTGAGAGAATTTACAGCCAATTAGGAGAATATTTTGGAGTTGCAGGTAAAGGAGGCTCCTGGAGTGCTAAAAAAAGCACCTCAAGAGGCAAACCAGGCAGGGAAAGGAGCCGATGAAAGTGAAGGACAATGACAGGATAACAGGGAAGAATACACTTAGGCTGGTCATTAAAAGGTTTCTAATGTGAAAGAAATGAGGCATTTTCAAAGGTAGTACCTAAGGCAGAGTCTCCCTGGTCTGCTAAAACTATAAAGCTATGAACAAGGTGGTGTTATGTACCGTATGAAAAAACAGCAGTTAGACTTTGTGACCCAGGAACTTCCCTTCAATGCTATGTTCCCATCAACAAAAATCATGTAAGAAGAAATAAAAGTCCTGTGCACACTAACTCCAATTACTGCTTATCACCTATTCTTCCTTACTGTGTTCTCAGCTCTTTTCACAGTCTATTAAACTAAACTTTTTGCCTTGCTGGAAAGGCTTCTCTCCTGATGGACCTGCCTTGGAACAGCCAAACCCCTCATATTAAATGAATGAATCACTAAAAAGAAGCCAGATTTCAACTGTGATACTGTGTGGCTACAAGAATATGAGGACAGACCAGTATACCATGGTATTTGGAAGCTGATATACTTACGACCATCCACTGTCTTTGCCTCCAGATGCACAAGATCAGGCTCTCTACCAGAGCCCATCATAGACCTGTAAAACACAGATTGAGACAAAAGCTTTAAAACCAACATATAATATGAATGCCTGAGATATTAAGTTCACAGGAGGTCCTTTTTTAGAGGGACATAAACTCATACCCACAAATAAGAACAGCTAATTTTGAAAGCATTTTGGAGTTTTACCTAAAATAAACTTGAATATTTCAAATAAATTCTACCATTTTATCTAATCAATGCCATTGTACTTATGTGTTCTTTATTTCTGACACTTTTACTTCCCTTCTTTCCACCTGGAAACTTGTTTCTGTTCCCACTGGTACCTGACATTTTGATGTGTCCCCTGGTTTGGTCAGAAGGATGCAATTCAGTTCAGGGTGGGATACAGAAGACTTTAATTGATGGGATAATAGTATTTGCCAGCATGCTAATTATAGCTGTTCCTTTATATTGGACATTTTATGCACATTTGCTTAATTGACACTCTTAATGATCAATGTTCCCTCATTAATTAAGAAGTTTTAAAAACTCATTTTATCCTGAGACATTTTATCACTTCTGATCTAATAAAAACAGTGTTCCATTAATAAAAGAAATGTCACATTGACTCAGAAAATGACTGTTTGTTCACTATGAATTAATAAGTGACAACATAAAGACATTGAGCACTGCAAATAAGGGGCTTGTGGAATCAAGTTTTCCTTCTATTGTTGAGGTTCTCCTGGGCTGGCATTGCTGGCCTCAACAACTCCCTGGAAGAGTCCAAATGGCCAGTGGTTTGATGGACAGTCTGAATTATGGAAGTACTGACAGCAAGTATGTGCCAATCCCATTGTACAGCAGCCTCAGCAGCACTGCTGACGATCAGCCTTGGTTTTGGTCTTGGCCCTGTCATCCAAGTCATAATCTTAGACTAAAGCTAAGGGTTGAACAATCAGTTTCTTGCTAGCTGCCTGACCTCCAAGTTAATAGAAGCGTGTGGGAAGACACACATTCATTTCCAGATAGACAAATTAGATGTTCTGTTCAAAGCCTCATTATTTTTCAGGAAATCAGAAGTGAGATTCAAACAGTGATTTAGACCTTAATTCAGTTCCCACTGACTGTAATCAGAGGCACCTCTAGTGCTTAATCATCATGTGCATTAACTAATAACCATTATAAAAATGTTAACAATAACAAGACTATCTGTGTCCTGATTAATCCTTAGCTTTGCTTGACAAAATCGGTAGCAATTCACTAGCTGGAGAAGGTTTGGATTGTTTTCTCCTTTGTGGGTGACTGAAGTTTTAGAAAATACTCTGAGCCAGCATTGCTTTCACCTCTTTACATTTTTAATAACGTTTATGGCAAGGTCTTATTCTCCTAAACATTCAACTTCCATTTAAAATCTCTGCTTCCTGATAATTGACACCAAGTGGGTGGGAAGGAAACACCTTCCTAGGGCATTTTTCTTATACCTGCTATCATCAGCAGATTTAGGGCCAAAATTCTGGGCCTGCAAGTCACAATTCAGTACAAGACAGATAGATAGATGCCAGTGACAAACAGCTTTAAAAAAATGTAGAGGGTATAAGCTTGCAATATGGTGTATCTCCTCTTTATTCTGGTTCATTTAAGTGTGCTTTAAGTACTGGAAATTGAGCTAATGGAATAGCCCACCTGGAATTGGGCTATTGCAGAAGACACAGTACAGCTTTGACAGTGCATTCCTCATTCTGACCTCACACACCCCCACGGGGATGTGAACTTTTCAAAGAAACAAGGAATATATTCCACAAATTTGAACATTTTGTCTCTTCAGAGACACACAACAATAGTATTCGTCCAGCAAAGAACTTGTTGCCCTAGTTAAAGCATGTGAGTCTACAGTCAGGTGCTTTGTGAGTTTCCTCCTCACAGTGCTATTCTGACCCCAAGAAGAACCTCTGTTGCATCTTCTCAGGCAAAGACAGACAATTCAGACTGAGATGTTTCACTGATGCATAGGACGTGATTGCCACTGTTGTTTTCACTGGAAATACGAGCCATAATTTACATCAAACTCTTAGATGTCTTAAGAGTAGATTATAAAGATGTGGACCCATCAAGCCCTGAAAGTTAGACTAGAGCAGTAGTAACCTGCATGTTACTTAGTCTCACACTACAACAGCTAGTATTGAGACTGTAGAAGCTTCAACTCAGGGTAGACTTAAGCAATCAGTTCTCCCAAGGATGTACAGAACAGGGATGGCTGAAACATGACTGGTGATAAACACTGTTCGTCTGCTCTAGGCCTTCTTTTCTTTTGGTATCTCCTGACCCCTGCAACTTGTGATGACAAAGACTAAGGTCCAAAGGAGGGAGTTCCTAAAGAAAAACAGGACATCTGAGGTAGAGGCAAGAACCATACCCAAGTTTTCCTATCTGCTAGATCTTTCTTCCTACCTTAGAAAACATACATTTCATTGCTTTGATATATAATAGGCTTAATTTATTTGTGACAGCACAAGGTCACAGTCAGGCCCATAATATTAAATTATAACATGACACAGTTGCAAAGGACAGGCAGAAAGCAAATACATATCTGCTCAAATCAATATTAGCTGTATAGAGCTGACATCCAGAAACTTATCACTTCCATCTGGATTCTGATAAGAGCTTACTGACCAACATCTTTTTATGTTACATCATTTTGCATCATGTTGTCTTGTTCCATGGTGTAGCCTTGTGATATTTCTCTATACATCCCTCCATACTATCTGAAAAGCCACATAAAGTTATAATCATCTTACCCAGTTATAGATATATCTTATAGATATTTAAAACTGAACTAATCACACTCCACTCTTTTTGCAGAGAGTGAAGTGAAACAATCAGTTTTGCACTGTGGCTTATCTGAATGCTGTAGATACGACTTCATGAGAAGACCTAATCCTAGAAAGGACTGTTTCTCTCCACTGAATTTAAGATGTCTGGACACCTACACTACAGACACGCACATGTGATCACATAAAGGTGCCAAAGCAGGTAACAACAGATCTGAAATCTGTTTATTACCTACATTTAAAAACACAAACTACAGATAAACTATGGATTGCAATTAAAGAAGTAATTGAATGTCCTGGGCAGCTTTTTCTCTGAGAGTTATGCTTTATACAGCTTACATCAGTGTTATCATTTATTATATGGCATATAAAAGCCCAAGAGACATTCAGAAATGCAATATTGACCACAATGAGCATATACAAGAGATAAATACTGTGCTTTTGGTTTCACTGCCCCTGAGAACATGCATTCTGTAGGAAAATAAGACATACCCTTTGGCACACATAGGACAATCAATTCTTAAAGCACCTACTGGAAACAAGGGGTTAGGAACTGTGTAATATACATCAGAAATCTTGAAATTTTTAGTATGTCAACCAAGTCTATCACAACACTACCAAGCATGGAGCAGCTATACTATCAGTGGGTTTACTTGTCTTTTTAATTTGGCTGGGAGAAAAAGGATCATCTTTAGAAGCTGAGAAAGTCAATGTACTTCTATGAGCCTGAGTATTACCAAGTAACAGTGTTAAGCCCATGGTATCAGTATGGAACAGAATGAATGCCTGATTACAAAGAAATTCCATTTCTAACTGATGACCGGTTTTGAAGGTTCTTATACCAAAACTAGAATGATCAATAAATACAAGCTTCAAACATACAAGAAGGAAACTACATGCTGGATTTGCCCAAGATAACACCAAAGCCTCAAACTCCATGTTTCTAACTTGATACAACTGCCTGTTCTACTTCATTGTCTTTTGTGCACATTGTCAATTCAACCTGGTCAATGCATGCTTCACAAGCTAAACAAGGAAAAGCACTGTGTATCTGATAGCTGATAAACCAAACACCCTGCAAAGAACAGGGATACAGACGAACAACACTCTGGGACCCACTCAGCTACTGATTTCTCTCAGAAATTTCTTTTAAAATAAACAACAGTCCAATATTTTGTCATTCTTCTGAGCAACTTTTGTTCACTATGACAGCTGAGCTTTCTTCTCATATTTCTCAATTCCATTCTTTCCTTTCAGCATCTGTTCTCAAAGCCCAAACACTCATATATCCACAAACCTTTCTTTTTGCCAGAGTCTATGTTTTCACTTTGTGGTAAAATGCCAGCATGCCCTTTGTCCATCCCTTTCATCTCAGGCTTTCTGTAATACTCCCTGAAACTTCAGAGCACCAGGGATATCCTCACAACACTTTCTGTTGAACGGTGCCTAGTATTTTTGTGATTAACTTTTAGTGTTTTGTTGCTATAATTGCCTGAATGCTTTGAAAAAAAGAGAAAGGAAAAGACGGGAAAAAAAATCTTTTGGGAAAATAAGGATTTAGAAAAGCCAAGGGGAGTGCAAGGCAGTGACCCCTCTGCCTTTATACTGAAGATGCTTACATTTTGAAAAATTTAGGACCCCCACTGTCCTATTACAAAGTTGCTTCCTAAATTTTTAATCACTATCAAGCCTGCTAAGTAGTCATCTGCACTTGAGAGCCTCACAAATCGATATCACTGGCTGCAGTGCTGTAATTGCTCTGAATGCAGATTCTACATCCACCGTGAGAAGCAGCACAAGGAAAAGACCCTGAATCATCCTCTGGTTTAGAACTAGGCTGAACCAAACAAAAGCACCCTGGCACTGCCCATTGCACAGCAAATCCTAGTTGGCATATTTCTGTAGTGACCAGCCCCTTGCCATCTTCTCTGTCTGAAACATTTCTAAAACCTTGGCTTCCTTGGCCTGTCAGCATTTCTGAGCCAAGAAAATTCAATAGAGACCCTGTTATCCTGGGGTTTCCACCTCTTCTATCTTTTTTCACTTCTAGGGACAAAAGCAATTGTTTATGGATGCTGGGAACTGATGAGGCTTGCAAGGCAGTCAGACCACTCAGAACTGCAAAAAGGCATCATTGTGAAGACAGCAAAAGCTTCCACTTGGTGCACCTAATTTCAAACTACCATTTTTTTCATAAACAAAGAACTTGAAGCACCAGACAATAAGG